TTTTGACAGATTGTGACAAATAGCAAACTAAGCAACGAGTCGAAATTCCTAAATCTCTAACTGCTCTCTAACGCGTGTAAATAGCGTTTGTATTATTTTGGCGATGACGTCATAAAGTCCCTCCCGCGCGCAGAAGAGCTCGTGAGACTGTATTTTACAGGTAGAAAATGGACATAATACAATCTTTTCCCCCAAATAACTCGAAAAGTAAGTAATTTAGGGTACATGTTGCTTCATAAGTTGTATATAAACATGGCCATTCTGCACAATTTGCACACATTCAAAAACCTTAGGGCCTTCATAGCCCAAGTTACCAGATACCCATAGTTTTGTATGATTTCTGGAACCGAAAATCAGTTTTTCGCCAATAACTGAAAAAGTAAGCACTTTAAGGCATATGTTTGTTCGTAAGTCATATATTAATATGCTAATTGCGGTTCTTTTGCACCCTGTCTAAAGACTCTATCACGATCCTATCGAAAATGGGCCCAGCACCACGCCCAAAATGGTTTTTGGCGAATTTCTCGAAAAGTAAGGATTTTAGGCCATGTGTTGCTCAATAACTCCTATATAAACATGCATATGCGGCTTCGTTTAAGCCTATTTTGAAGCCTCTACGACCTTCAGAAGCAAGGGGTCGGTTACGTTATTGGGTCAATATGGGCGTGGCCCTCCTGGGTTTTCTCCACGGTCAAAAAAATGTCTCCAAACGAAAATCGTTTATTCATACCTTCAGGAAGGTCTGTGCAAAGTTTCGTGAGTATTTGAACATTTTCAGGTTCATTTCCATAAATGTCCATAAATGACTGGAGTACACAACTTAAGAGTTAACTTTAGAGAAACTCATAAGTCATTTATCTCAAATTAAGCTGTTAGTGTCCATGATCAACCTGTGGCGACAATGTTTTACGTGAAATGTAAAAATCAGGAGTAATATTAAAAGCTTATTTTTAGATTAAAGTGCTAGCTCATAGTTTTAGAATTGTATTGATTATAACGTTGGTCGTTTAGCCATCTAACAATCGATCGTGCCGTAATATATGGCCAGAGAATAATAGGGTCTTGGAAATTCTATAATTGTTCAGTGGGTCGATTGACTGAACACGTTTGCACTTGGTATTTAAACTTACCAGTAGTTTATTTATGTTATGTACCGATGATAATGCAATTAGGATAACAACTAGGTAAGCCGTAAGTCTGTACGTCTAATTCAAAACACACTGCACACCGTACACTCCGAACAGTATTACTGTTTGGTAGACCCAAGACCGGGTATTTTGGCGGGAATTCTGTTCCCACGGCACTGTTCTGATAGAAGCTACTTCTACTAATGGTCCCAGAGGAACGGCCGTAAAGTAGCCAGACTTCTTGTCTCCTGTACTGGCTGACACATGCGGATTTAAGTTATAAATTTCGCTATATGCTATAAATATAATTGCTCTCGGAATTGAACAAACTCCTACTTATCTAGATCCTTTCTAAATTCGTTAGAGTTTCATGGACAAAAATAATCGGTACAGTCTCCCTAGCTGCTTGTGTAATTAAGCAATGAAAGCAATCCAAAATTATCACATATGACATAAGTTGTAATAGCAGAAACTTTCTAACCGTACATTCACCCGCCACTGTTCAAGAACCTATATCACTGTTTAAAATCATGACGTGAGCACTGTACATCCAATCAGCTATTCCTTTAGTTAGAATGATAGCCAAAACTATAAGGATTTTGGAGAACTAGGGTAATAGTCATAATTCTAAAATTTGAGTGAGTTACATGTGTTTTATTGACGATGATAAACATTTGTAATGTAAATTACGCTATGCAAGCGCGCACTGAGGGACTTTATGACGTCACGAGGCCACAGCTTATTATTGCAATAACACGCGTTACACGTACGATAGAGAGTTGGTTCTTTCGGCGATACGATTCTTTACTAGTTTGTCACAGCTGATTTAAATCTTAGCCAAATTGGAGACTACAAATTTTTCAGTTAACTGGTCCTTTAAATTGGGCACTCAGTGACTGAGCTATAAAGGCCAACGCATGGGTACTGACTTTTGGCCCACCCTGTACATAATAATGTAAATCTGAGATAATTTATTGGAATATCTGAATATTAATATAGGAAAAAAGTGGCAAACCTATAGATTAGGAAAAATTGACTCACTCATCAAGTTTAGCTCTCTTAGAAGAAGAACCATTTGTAAAATCTACAGTCGCATCCAGCTCTAAATAAATCGTCTTTATTTCAAATGGTCTGAATATAAGCGGTCCGACTTTATTTTCGCTTGTAGACAAAGGAGCTTTAGATGACTCCCTTTCAACAGCATTTATGCTGAAATAATAGCAGTTATTTAAAAATACAGGTATTTAAAGTTTTAAATCTGTAACACCAAGGTTATATTAGAAACTATTTGTTTAATTATAATATATATAAACATTAATTTCGATCAAATGATGAATTAAAAATAAGGATATCTCACCTGAAAGCTTGACTGAGTAGATCATGAGAAATAAAGACGTTTGAGACAGTATTCCCATAGGGCTCGTACAGCCGAACTACCAGGCCACTGCCATGTTCCCCCTGGAGAAAGTGTTAAATTTACTTGTTATCATCTTTATGGGAGTAGTCTGAAATTTGCGGTGAATGGGAATTTACATTTTAATTTATAGGTGACCTTTACATTTTACAAGGTACATTCCAGTTCACCGTCATTCATATCAATATTCATATTAAATAACTTTTTCAGATGAAACTTAATACCAGCCCAATTTGAGCAGCGTTACAACTTCTGGTTAAGTTCTGTTGTGAAGTCTCTAGGTAACGGGAGAGTCATGTTTCATAAAATTAGCGTATGTATTCAGCAGTGTGTTCAGCAGTGTGTTCACTATTCAGGGACCGAATCTGTTAGGCATTGGCTCTGCTGCTTTAAGTTTTAAGCTTCAATGCAGTTTTGAACGGAATCGTTTTGTTGTTGAACATTGTTACTTGAACGTTTTGAGCAATATTTTCTTCTTATGCCTAATACTTATATTACTTACAATTATTCTAAAAGCTTTTCGCTTAAGATAGTTTTAACTTACCGATAGTGGCACTAAAACCTACAAGTGCACTAATTTCAGAGGGTGATGATGCATAGCTTTACCGAGAATAAGACAGAGATACTAGAGAACTACAAGGGGGCACTTGGATATGAGCTCAGTTCAACAAATCTCCTCCTATCTTTTACAATTCTTCTACAAAACAGTCTTATCATCAAATGTTACATGGATCAAAGGGCCAGATTTTTAGCTGCCATGTACATCGCCATTGCAATAGCAGACATCGCAGTAGCTCAAGGCAGCATCATCGTGTCTGTAGCCGGGATTTTGGTTTTTTCTTATGGGTGCTGCTAATCATCCATGTTCGTATTTTCGACTGGGTGTGAACAATGTGGACAGTCGGAGTGTGTGATGTTTGTGCTGTCGAGAGAATGGGGAGGTAATTTAGGTACAAATGATTGGGAAGTATGCGTAATATAATATATTTACTGAAGACCGCGAAGATGTGAAACATTAGTTGTGGTTCTTACCGTCAGTATGATAATATTGTTCCAATTACAAATGTTAAAATTATATTCAAATCAAAAGTTAACCAATTCTTTGAAATAATTTTGCCTCTCCCATCGTCTCTGAGGTAACCGGACAGTTTTCTCTGGAGATGAAGGTTCCGTAGTCTGTTAAACGAAAAGTGAATACAGACTCTTAGAATTTTATCGAACAAATGTTGACAGGCCGGTGGAAGTATATTATAGAGGTTGGATGATCCAGAAATTCAGAACTACGTCTCGCTACTGTGTTAAAGCTGAGATAAATCGTTCTCAAATTTCATATTGTGACAAAATTTAGAACTCACAAACGCGCGTGCGCGCGACTTTTAAAACACACTCACTGCTACAAGGTAAACTTTCTAGATGACACAACTGATACAAACTAGCAGTAGCTTAGAGCCCGCCGCGGGCCTAAACACGCTGTTGCCAAGACATGTGTAGTGTCTTAACTTATATACTGTCGACAGTTCTCAATAACTGCGAGTACTTTATTTTAATCTAATAACTAACCAATTCTTGGGCTGCCATTGGATTCATCGACTGCCGGAGTGTCGATGGTTATTGGAGTCTCTGAGTAGACCGGATCGATGCGCTGCCACAGAAGGGTGTAGTCATTACCTGGGGCGTGGGAGTGGGTCTGAACACTGTGTCCTTATCTGACCCTGAGTTAATTTTAGAGTTGGACAGGTAATTGCTCAGTTAGTAGATCAATCACCTTAAGTGTCGTATTTTAGCGATGAAGAAAAAGCTATAAATAGGTTCCACCAAAAATGTTACAGTCGAGTGGGTTGGTTTAGTAATGTATTTCTTCATGTGATAGGTAGTTGCCGTAGAAACTCCTTGTCAATGTTAAATGTGTGCTTATTCAGCTGCTGATTCTCCTGAAAGTTCAATATTAATCATTATTATTAACTTAACACTTATAATTATGATAACTGCAAGCATGTAGTTAAGTCGCACGTCTGTTTATTATTATATGCTGTCTCTATGCGAAAGAAAGTTGTCAAGTTCCCCCAGCACGATGTCTGAAGGAAAACGAACCTGTTCTTTATCGATGACGAAGAAGTGATGTTAATGCGTGTCTGAAAAATTGAACTTCAAATAAAATCCAGTAAATTAAGTAAGATTGACGGATAGTCAACTATGACGACATCTTGAAACCTTTTTCAGAAAATAACATAAAAGAATATAGAAGGACAATCTTATGGAGAAACCCCCCTTCCCGCACTGCTAGGGGTACCTGCTCCTAAAAAAGGGTCACCCTCTCAAAGGATGAGCATGACACGGCAGCTGTTAGCTTTGTTTTATCTTTATTCGTTTCATTAGAGCCCTCCTGAAGGAAGGCTTACCAAAAGATGTGAGGTCTGGTCTCCTGAGAGAACCAGTTACACATTGGAACTTAATCTTACCTCAAATTATTTGTTATATAGTAGTGTTGAAAGTATTAAAACTGCAGATAGAGTGGTCTCTTGCCTATTTCTTCCTCAACATAGCTCTTTCCTAGTTTGCAAGAGCGTCAGAATTGGAAAATATTTCCTTTGAGCCATGGCTAATGAGCCACGTGAGAGTCACGAGATAGCATGTCAGCACTCCAACGACCTCACCTGACGATCTCGTGTTTCAGATAATGGATTCTCCATTAGGTCCATAAAAGGCATGTAATTAGATGTGTTCAGGATGCAGCCCAATACTGCCCAGAGTACATCCAATAGCTGTACACAATCTGTATTGCCCAGAACTGTGGATTGCTTTTTTCCCTGAACCAAAAAACCAAGATCTTGGTGAAAGGATGACGATTTTTAGCCAAAGATATGAGCCAAGTTAGGGGTACCTGCTCCTAAAAAAGGGTCACCCTCTCAAAAAACTCCCATTTGAAGCAAGATTTATTTATTTGGCTCTTTAAAAATTTTTCTTGTGTTTCACATAGGATGGTATTCTGATGGTTTATTTATTTTTGGTTGTTGATTTATTTATTTACTTAAGCTCATGACTCATTATTGATCCAAAATTATCGATTGAATTATTTATTCTGTTACAGTTGAGGTGTTTTTTGACTTTTTATTTACATATTGTTTAGTACTTCACAGTGATGAGCGAAATTATTGTTTAGAATTTTCCGACAGTTTTAGTTACCAATAAGTTATGGATTGAGAAGAAATGTCTCACATAATAATCTTAATGTACACGTTTCTTTCTTAACCCCCATATTACTATATTACAGTTGAGCGGGAAGATGTATAAACAGATGTATAAACAGATGTATAGACTGAACGTGTATCCAATGAGATCAATGGTTTTGGAACATGAAGGTGAGAGTTGTAAGAGTGGCCAATCAGATGGATCCTGTACGCTCACCAAACAGCCTAATGATCGACCTAAGGTTTCGAATGATACTTTTATTTAATGTTTGAGTTGATATGAAATATCTTTAATTTTAATCCCTTTAATTCATATGTTATCATACATCGAAATTTGCGGTAGTGGTACTCAAACATATTTCATGCGGATCCCATCTTTCACACGTTCCCAGACTCTTATACACTTATATGTCTTGTGTATATCACATGACATTGGATGAATGGGTCAGTGGTCACATGGTGCCCTGTGGATTGTAGGAAGTCCCTTCTCTTGATATACCAGAGTGTATCACACTGACACTGACCTATAATTCGAAAAATAACTAGTTGATATTTATTTATATCTCCCGAACTGTAGATGCTTCAAAACCAATTTTCTGGAAGATTGTTTCAGTCACCTGCTAGAAAAAGATTAGAAGACAAGCACTCAAAATATGTAGCAAAAAGTATAAACATTCCATCCCCCCATCAACAATCATCTCAACCACATTTGGTGAATTCATCCCAATGTAAGATTATCATTTATAATAAATAAATTATCATTTTGTTGCCAGCATGAATCATCGTCCGGCTTTTAAAAGTATTTATAATTAATTTTGTTTGTTAGTTTGATATTAATTATCGTCACCAAATATAGATTCTAACTTAAATAATAAGTGTTCTGTGAATTTTAATTCCGAGTTCGTACTTAAAATGAAAAATAACATTGCAGGGAGTCTGTCAGAGGAGAGATCTCCTGCAAGCTTGACAGTAAGAACGTTTGCTATGGCAGAGAGATTGCATGTTCCTGTTCCAGAATCTTGTATCAGGTTTGAGTTTCAACCATCTTTGTAATTTAAAAGTAATTGTGGCCGAATGAAATGTGAAAATAAAGGATCTCCGACCATCGCCCTGCATCAACACTTTTCGTAGTACAATTTTGGACATCTCGCGGAGTTTATCAAGCATTTGCACAATCTTTCATATTGCATGCTAGCTTGTACAGCATTGACTTGCTGCTGTGTCTTGCTTTGCTATCGTAACAAACACTCTATTTTATGTAACTTACATATTTTACAACTTACTGTCGAGGTCCTCTTTTCTTCTGATGAGGTTTTACTTATAATACTGGCCTCACTTAATTAATTATGGTACTCTGATCTCTATTTGCTAAGTTTTTACTGGCTGTTTTTCTTTCAAAACAGAGCTGTCTTATGATTTCTGGAAAGAACACTATATTTGGCAATGTACGATTTCAGCAAGTTTTATGCAACACTTTATGATTAAAAATAGGGAATGTAATGTTGATATAAGTTATCTTACTTAAGGCCACAGGGGGGGGTCCGAGGTCGATTTTGAGATTTTGAGATATGTTGTAGAGCTCGATCTAAATTTTCAAATGCTTTTGTCCTTACCGAAAACAAAGTTTCCTATTTGAAGATATCGCGCGTTGAATTTTGAGGTTTACCTGTAATTCTATTGTAAATGAAAACTTTAAATGAAATCGTGTTCAAAATCTATCTTCTTTTTCAGTTTATGACTTAGAACCTTGTAACTTGGCAACAATGTTCTTCAAGGTATTTTGAGTTTTTGTTATGTAACGATTTATGATATCTTGCTCCAAAGCTGAGATATGAGGTTAACCATGAGTGCGGGTTACAAAATTTAAAATGGTTAACCTCATAAAAAGAGTTAGGAGCAAAATTACAACAATCGTTACATAACAAACTTTTAAATTTATGTCAGGAACATAAGTTCCAAATTTGAGGTGAAATGGATAAAAACTCTAGGAGAAGATAGATTTTGAAGTCAAAAATTCGAGGTTTTCAGGAGAGGCAAAAAACTGTTTTTTATGTTATGTGATTTTTGAGAATTTTGCCTTTATTTGTATATTTTTCAAAGTTTAACTGCTGAAATAACACAAAAACAATAAAAACAAAGCTTATCGTAGTTTTCAGTTGTAATGGCATCAATATTTCTGCCCTCCATTATCGATTTATCAAAAAAATGAGGTTAAATGAGAATTGGTTAACCTCATTTATGAAAAAAAGTAAAATAGCTACAGACAAATGAGTGGTGGCAAAGTATCCACCACAAAAATATATATTGATTCAAAGCATAATGTTTTTTTGCATTTTTTGAGGCCTCGACCCCCCCCTGTGGCCTTAAGTGGACTGGATATGAAATGATGCAGTGAGCCTAATATATGGACACGTTCAAAAAAAGGTGGCACTAGAGATTGATTTTTTTAAATGCATTTTAAAAATAGTCATTGCTCTTTGTTGGTTGATATATCTATCTATACCTTTAGAAATTCGATTAAATTTCATGATCCTGAAATCACGGAGCCTCTAGTGCTTATATCCCAGGAGTTATCGTTATAAGTGTGCCAATGAGTCAAAAGTCACACAATTAGAAATGCCAGATGAATCAACACTAGATAATCTGAAAAGTAATATTCACAAAGAAGCCAAAATTGATATGGTGACTATAATGCATGTAAGGAATGGAATGTATTATCTGAAATTGTTATTGGTGCCAAAATGAGTCAAAAATCACAACTTAAACGTTGCAAATGAGCCTATTTAGAGCAGTGATTATTGAATCATCTAACGTTTTTATTGGCTTTCTATCATTTTTTAGGGTACAAAATAGTATTAAATAGTATTAAAACCAGTTAATATGATTCAAAAGTCACATTTTCGTTAAAGGTGCGCTATCAAGTCACACTATAGTGAGCCTTAAATTAAGTGCACGATATGACAATTTATATCCATTCTATGATTCTTATTATGTGATTTTTGAATTCATGTCTAAGCTTATACCCTATTGAAGGCCTTTGAGCGATAATTTTTGATCTTGGTGCTTAAATGATTCAAAAATCACACAAATATGGCTACCAAATATGTAATTTCCTTTAAGGTGTGACAATTGAATCATATGTAATGTTCAAGTTGTAATGACATTTTGAAAGTAAAGGTAATGAATCGATAATCACATTTCAAAAATTCAATTAAGTATTATACGTTACTGATATGATTTATTTGTCACATTATGGCGACAAAATTATCATGGCTTGAGCTGTAAAAGTACTTGCCTAGTTTACTCAGTTTAAAATCAGTGTTTTGTGATTATTGATTCCACTATTACTCTAATAACGAACTTCTCCATGACCATAAACAAGTGTTACATCGAATTACTGCAGATTTACTATGAATACCAACCTGATATAGAGCCAAAAAGTGATACATTCCCCTGATACAGCATCATTTCAATACATGCTCATTTATGTGATTTTTGACTCATTATGGCACTTTTAACCATCTAAATTCACTAAATATTAGTTAGCATGATATAATTGTGATTGATAGAGTTCATTGTTACAATCATTCCGTTGATATTCATATCACATTCATCATTCTAAAATACTTAGTCAGAATTAACCCTGTTTGTGATAATTGCATCATAACTCCACATTTAACCGGTGACTATTTGCACTTTTAACACTCAACTAACTCAGAAAGGTTCAATAATCACATTGAGAAGCAGGACACACTCACAGAATGTAAATTCATCATTAGAGGTGCAAGAAATGAATATTTTGTGATTTCTGGCTCATATCTGCACAATTAACAGATATAAAGAGATGAATGACTTAATTATGTGACATTTGACTCTTTTTGGACCACATATTAAAATTTGGTTAACTTTCATAGCATACTCCTTGAGATACAAGTATTTTAAAATGCTTCACACAATTTTGGCAGTGAAAAATCAATCTCTAGTGCCACCTTTTTATGAACGTGTCCATATAATGCATTTTACAGAACAGTACAAGTTGTGGTACTTTAAAACTAGTCGTCTCCATGGCAATGAGAATCAGATGTAAAGGCTCATATTACGTTACGTTACTCAGCATACCTTCTACAATGATCTACACGTCATTCTCTTGTTACAGCTTGCAATTTGTTTGTTATTTTAGACTATTGTCACTAGAATAAGTTATAATTTGCTTCGTTTTCCGAATTAATTACATGATCTCCCTTTGTTTAGTTTCGAAGAGTTCTGTGTTCGGTTTATACAGAGGTGGTGGTTTCTCCAACGAGCCAACAATAACGTACGTACTTTTCATTATAATCAACCGCTATAACTTACTATAATAAGATGACATTATAGCTGTTAGTAGCTATGGGAGGCAGTGTTAGTTTGTTTGTCACGTGACAGAGATTCGGGAATATTATGACATGATTGTAAATCGTTGTCCTGCGTCAAAATGAACTCTTACCAAACCATTGTCGAACTAGAGTTCGCTACCTGGACACTTGTTCGACACGCACCGAAGTTCGACAGCGGACAGGGGTGATTTCTTGCGAACTTGTTGAACTAGTACTACAGTACGTGAATCCCGCATTGATATTCGCTATCCACGTTTATTAGCACAGGTCTATAATCTACAAGCAAAAGTTAGGCTTAACCCAAACTTTAATGTTAGTTATAACCACGGTACCAATAGTTCCACTCATTGGCTTTCTTCGAACACGTCATCATCTTTCACATCGTACCTACCATGGTTACTTTCCCCCTCTTTCAGAGTTTGTACAGTATGACGTCAGAGGAGCGTAGTATGAACTCAACAGGCTCGCTCACCAGAGACAAGGCTGCTACTATCATTCAGCGATCTTGGAGACGGCACATAGTAAGAACTTAAGTCTTAGAACTCTATAGAATTGTACAGTATATTATATAGAACGGAATTTAAACAATTCTCACGATCGGTTCTTACTACATCGCATTCCACCTAGCCCACTATCGATCGTGTCTAATATTTTCTTCCCCTTGCTGTTTATCGCCCAGTTCTCACGGTCCCTGACTTTTGGTCGTCGCGTGGCTCCCACGTGATACTAGAACACTATATCACGTGGCGCGCGTTTGTATCTCGAGTTATAAATAGCACATTCCTACCTGCCCTTACACGCGCGTGTACCGATATGAACACGAAACTAAATTTTAACCGTGGGATCTTAGAATGTGCGACTGTGTCGGACGATCAGAAAGTAGAAACCAGCTACCATATTACACGACCTGATTTCATGCAACATCGAAGAACCTAAAATGTTCGACAATGGTCTTCCGAATAATCTTTAACGAAATTCGAAAACAATATGTATAGTTGATATATATAATATACAATATGTATAGTTGATATATATAATAGTATTCTTTTCTCACCACAATTTACAAAACTCTACAATGTTCATTGTTTAGATAGTATACATATAGTACAATGACATGTTTTAAGCTAATTTATTATTTTCACTGACTGGAACTTAATTCCCTCAGGACATACAAGTTTATCACTATTACAGAGATCTTATCAAGTTCTACTCGAGGGGCAACCCTCAGTTCATGCTCAAGTGTATCAACCCTAAAGAGGCTGCTTTGCTTGATTTTGCTGCTGGAATTCACATTCGTTTCAGGCTAGCTGGGGTAAGTAAATACTGGTTATTAAGAATTGAACTTACATCCTAGGCAGCTAACAGCTTCAAAGTTCAAAACCGAGTACTTCAGGCCACAAATTTCCTGGGTAAGTGTACATCTTACGAATATAATATTCAGTATCACTAACCACGCTGTATGATATCCAACAGGAGAAGTTCCCTCCCAACATCTACTACAAGATCTTCACGTACCGTCCAGTGACAGATGTCAACTCTTTCGCACCACGTGACTACACCGTATCAAACTGGGCTGCTCCCGGTGCCACCGTCAAAAACAGCAAAGTAGACAATCCTAATGATAGGGAGGGTGAGTTTAGCAAAATGTGATAAAAATGTGTGTCATGTTCAGCAATTTGTTTATCAATTGTTAGACTCTGAACTCTGCACTTTGATTAACATTATACTGATGAGTTACAGATATTGTTACAGATTTATCTAGATGGTATCAAAGAAGAGAGAACAATGGTTGGAGACTGGTTTCAGATAGGTATTGAATACAAAATCATTTTCTAAGATCCCTGAATCCTACTAAAATAATCGATACCCTCTTCGGTTAGATTGAGATTACAATACATATTATCTTTATATAAACGATCATTTTGTCATCCATACCAGTAACCAACATGGGTCTTCAATATAATAAACCCGAAATTGTCCGCAGAATCTTCACCAGCATGGAAACAGACTCTCTGTTACAAGAATCAAATTCTGAACGGAAATTCTTCCACTTTTCGAGACTGCGGCGACAGAAAGATGTGGACAACAAAAGGAAGGTTAAGAAGCGTCAATGGATGGCAAGTAAGACTTCTGATTCCCTAGTAAATGTTCATAAAAATTGTATCGGTTGTAAACTTTTGAAGCAAAAAAGCTATTCCTTTTTGTTGACTTTCTACTGTGACATCCTCTTCAGATATGTACAAGCAAGGAAAAGAAACTGAACGTGACTTGACGGAATCAGAGATCGAAGAAATGGTAAACTGGTGTGACGATCTTAACTTTGACAACTACGTCAATAACTGGCTGGAGCTGGCAACTGCAGTCACATTGCCAAATTGTGAGTAGAGGCCATTCAGATAGTTTTAACGTAACGCGCGATGAAGTTTAGAGTAATGAAAGTGCTTTTTGCTCGCGTATGCAGTGAGTCTAACATCAATGCGCAACAATTCTATCGTATCAAAATAAATGTTCAGTCTAGTTGTTTTTTTCAATATCTGTTGGACGTGCTGCTTTTGATCGGTGATCAGTTAGGAATTAAGCTTTTTTTAAAGTTTCTACAATTTTGGATACACCACCTGATTTAGTAATGCTGCTTGGGAGGTAAATTACACGTGGCCTTTCATTGCATGTTCAGTTCGCATTAGTGACCACGTACATCAGAGCTTGGCCTCCCGACGGTGTAGTCTATTGACTCCCGCGAATAGGATTCCCGGCTAGTAACTACTGAGTACACATTTAGGTGAGTACGCCAAGATGGACGACAGACAAACTGAAAACTCAGCATTTTGAAGCACGTGAAACGTTGAGAATTGAGATGTCTACTTCCGACTAAGACTCGTCAACCAGATACAGCTTTCCGGTTGTTTGATAGATGGTATTTGGATTTTAGAAGTCCCAAGTTTATAAATTGTAATTTATTTAAATTGTTGGAGGATTCCTATGTATGGCATGAGCAGGTTGACGTTTTGGATATTATCCACCTCAAATCCGAATTCCTTCAACAGACTCTAGTCCTTATTGCTTTATTGTTTGGAGATAAAATATCAAAAAAGATATGATTTTAACCGTTCAACTGTCAATTGATTATTTGACATCTTAGTATGCAATAATCGTTCTACTGCAATAATCTTTGTGACTTTTAATTCGCCGTCTTATTTGTTCAAAATGATGCTGAACGCCAAGTATTCTACAGTACCGAGATAAGATGTTTGTCTAATTGAGCTAATTAGTAGGCAGCAAGTGTTACATGTCATGCTTGTCACCTCTCATAGATTCTCTACTTCCAATCAAATCAGGTTGTCATGGTCACGTGTTTATCACGTGTTACGAGGAACCAGTAAAAAAAGGGATGGTGACTGACAAGTGACCACACCATATTCACTCAATATTGTTATCGTCTAATCTTTATTACTGTTGGTCCTTATATTACTAATCTGTATCTTTACTTACAATATATAACATAACTGTGACTAGATGCACTCTATTTTATTACATGTCCTGCACCATTCGTTTAGCTGCTCGGTTCTGAGTATTTTCAGACACTGACTGGTTACCAGGTTACACTTACAACACAAGGATTTACATTCTGGCTTTGCACGTAATTTGAATCACTAAATTACTAAAGATCTAAACATACGAAAACGAAACTAACAGTATGAGTAACGGCATCGCCCGGCCCTTGTCTTTGTATGCTTTAATTTGATCAACTCTTTCGTCGTGTGCAATTGGGGTTTAATTCTTAAGTTCATTAAAGTTCACACAAAGTTTTTTTATGTTATCAGTTTATATTATCTTTTTGTCAATTGGTCATTGGAACCACCGGGCCAACAAAAATGTTTCCGATTTATCTGTGATTTCTACACTTTACCAGGCTACTTCCCATTCATGTGCTTATGATAAAACTTGAAGTTGCTAGAATAACCTGCCCTCCTACTCCCAGTCGCACTTATGACGCAGATAAAAGCAGCTTGGCAGGGGTCTTCCTATAAAATCGAATATTGTCCGCTCCCACAGTACTACAGATAAATTCGGCATGGTTGCTCGTTCATTCAGCTGGAAATTGATAAGAAGTGCACTTCAAATGAGCAACATTTATGAGCCACTGCTGGTCGGACTGTGGGGGTCTCATCCTCTGATTAGTGTTTATCACATCGTGAGGCACTCTTTAATTTTGTCGTGGGATGCTGCCTAGTGCTTCACTGCGTAAAATTCGAAGGGCGCCATCATCAAGAACCAGCGTTATTTGCGGTTTTTTCATTTTAATAACTTTTATCAATCTTTACTCTTATTAGCTACATATTTCAAGAGTCTTAAACAGTGCATACGATTTGTAAAAAGCAACGGAATAATTAAATGGGCTGTAACGTCGATGATATTGGATGGGGGAGGGGAATTTTTTAAATGATCATGGTATCTGGCAGCATTTCAGATTATCTGAGAGTAGATATATTTACCGCTTCGTTAAAGCCTTTCATTTCGATAATTAAAACTTAGCAAGTTTTGTTAACATTATCCGTTTCAAGCCTTTCGTACGAATGATATGTTAACTTAACAGCTTTGCTGTTCGTAAAACAATCAACCACTTTGGTTAATCTCTCTCTCAGTTTTTACATCTTACAATCTACAGACTGGTCCACCTAATGGTTTTCCATATCTTATCCATTTGTTGTGATATGATAGCTGTACCGTATACTGATAGCTTGCTTGCTACTAATTTTATTCTTCGTAACTTTATCATCATAAAAGCTCCGAGTATTGCTCCCGTGGGTCCCCCCGTAGCATTATCTATGATTATACTTTTATAGCTCAGAACAAAATTGATTTTCTTAGAAAACCTCTTCTGGCATTTTTTGTTGTATTCATGCTTGCGTCAGGATTGTTCACCGTTAGCGTTACTTAGCAACAAAGTGGGACCGATAGTAGATGATATTGATTATCATTTTACTCAGTGCAATATGTGACTTTTATTTGTGGCTCTGCATTCATCTAATTTCCTTTGATTTTGTAAATTGTCCTCGTTAGCTTAGTAATTCTTAGAAAATCTTGAATTGAATAATTTTGTAATTTGAGGTTCTCTGTTCACTCGGTTTTCACCTGCACAGGATTAATTTTATTCAAATTGATCTGTTCATCTCACATGCACTAACAATAATTCACACAGTTGTATGAATCAAGACCGTGACTATAAACTCTGAAGTCTACGTTCGAGAACAATCCGTTAAACCATGACGACTGCGAGTAGACCCTCCTCTTATCAGAACAAGTTACCCAGGTAACCGAATAATATGATAATAATACTGTGGGTAATAATACACCCCCACTCATACGTCATTTTACCACGGTTGTGAAGTAAATGTTTTGCGTTATTTATCAATGAAAGTGGATTATGAAAAGTGGTGAAAGAGTCACAAATACAGCGGTATTCTCAGTGGTATAGTGGTATTCTCAGTGGTATAGTGGTATTATGTGTGGCATATTGGTATTCAGTTCCACTAGGCGTGTTATGATGTGTATTTATGGTCTGTGTTAAACTTCCCCGTTTGTGCGTTACTTTCGTGTTTTTGTGCACATTCCCCGGTTTGCCACGTGTCACTCTAACTCGTGATGCAAGTGGACGGTCCAGTGTTCTTATTTCTCTGTTTCACGTTCGTGTTATTTTAGTGTATTGTTTGGAAGTTCTAGAAAATTGATGGATAATATCGAGATTAGACGGATCAATCAGGAACCATCTTCAAGAACATTCGCCACCAAACTGCATGTATTTCACATGCTTAATACAGTAGTACAGTAGTCAGGGGTTCCCTATACTGCCGTTCCCTGAGAAAAGGCAGTAAGTCACATCTATGTCATTTTGAGAAAATGGGACAAACATGTTTATTGTTTGTCGTTTTTTAGGTAATTTTATTCGTATAAACGGGGTTAATTTTGACACCTATGTGTAAATAAATTATTGTCATATGTCCTAAACATGCTTAAAAGCATAAATTCACCAACACTGATCTATAAAACCATTTTTCTTCAGAATAACTGAACTATTTTCCCATCCGCATTGGACTTACTGCCTTTTCTGAGGGAATTGCGGACTTACTGCCTTTTATCAGGATCGATTTCAACCGATTCCTCTCTAGAAAGGCAGTAAGTCCATTTTTCCTCAGATAAAGTCAACACAAAAAATGCAACATTTCTATATTTTTGATCATATCCTTGCAATATAATTATGTGGGGCGTGGGCCTCCTGTGCATTGCAAGTGTGTAATATTGACGAAAAATGGATAATTTCTCGCTCAAAATGCCTATAACTCCTTAAATATCGAATATTTTGGAATAATTTTTACAGCATCGTATTCAGCTTGGTCAGACGAATTAATTTGGGAAAAAAATATTTGAACATACAATATTTAAAGCACCAAATTTTTCAAAAAATGTTTCAATAATTCACACAAGGGGGGACCCTTGTGTTCAGGTTCAAAAATTTTGAAAATAATATTTTTTTAAATTTTGAATTATTAGTACCAACATTTTTTCCTTGCTGAGCTGATTACGACCACATAAAAATTATTTCGATATAACTAAAACTGTGGGAGTTATAGGCCAAAAACTATAAAAACTGCAAATAAATCTGGACTTACTGCCTTTTCTCAGGGAAAAAGTTCCCTCATGGAAAAAGTTCCCTCAGAGAAGGCTGTACAAATGGACTTTCTGCTTTTTCTCAGGGAAGGTTTTGGGATTACGTGCTAAATTGTCTAGTTTTGTGTGACTTACTGCCTTTCGTGACAGCTAAAACAGTATTTTTATAACGTGATTCATAGCTTAAGTTGTAGAGAATCTTTTCCTGAAAATTTTGGTACCAATATCTCAAAATTTCGAAAAATGGACTTACTGCCTTCTCTCAGGGAACGGCAGTATAATGATCTCATCGTTGCAATTATTATTCATTAATCATTACACTGCATGAGAGCGGAGTACTGAACGTTATCTTACGTTGACTGCAAAAGTTTTTGGACAACTTGAACTGGTAGTTCGACTTGAAGAGGACACTGTGTTGATTGGACAACTTGAACTGGTAGTTCAACTTGAAGAGGACACTGTGTTGTTTGGACAACTTGGACTGGTAGTTCAACTTGAAGAGGACACTGTGTTGTTTGGACAACTTGAACTGGTAGTTCAACTTGAAGAGGACACTGTGTTGTTTGGTTAGATCGTGCTTGTTTTAGAAGAGACTGGAACTGCATAACTGCCTGCTTGACTGTTGATTGTTTCACGAGGTGACGCCAAAATAATAGCATACTCTAATATTAGGTTCAGCACATATACCGACCAATTGTTTTCATTCAACCTCGTTCAAGAGTTGAGGTCAATGCGAGAAACTAATTTATTGAACGGATCCTTGAACAGTGATGTAACGGATTAGTGAAGACCATCCCCCATTGATCCAGATCGTGCTGGAAACCACAGTTTGTTTGCTGTGTTTATAGGACACGGTGTCGTGCAGTGTGGCCGTTACAAGTAGTTGATGTCAGTGGTAAGCATGACATCATTGTCTGTGATCGGGCTCTTATCTTGAGAACAAAACAAGTTCTTAAAGCTTGAGAGTAAACTGCTCATTTCAGATTTATAGTTGTTTAGTAATAGTTAGGCGGCGTTTTATCGAGTATAGTACTTGTAGATAATGCACGTTTCCTACGTAAATTGGTCGATTGGTGTTGTTTTTGAGAGCATATTGATGTAAAAATGCTTTCTACGTTTAAGTTAGTCAATCGAATTCTATTATATTTCAGTGAATAGGCTGAATGATTAAATAATAATTTAATTTATCCTTTTTCGTACTGTTTATATAGTGTTAACATTGTACGTGGTGAAATTTCCCATATTGATAAAGTAGTACATGTCTACGGTAACCCGACATCTGTCCGACAGCGACTCTTATCCGACTCAATGTTACCAGAAAAAAAGACATCTGTCCGAAATTGTGATCTGATTTCAATACGACACATTTTCAATTAAAGACATGATCTGAATTGAACTGTAACTTGCTACTTTGTATACGTAAAATCCGGATTGGAATATTATTTATGAGTCGCATAGTTATTAATTACATACCTTAGTTCCCAAAAATTTGTGTGCCATTATATTGAGCACAATTTATTTGAGCCCGAAAAATTTGGGCAGAAAATTTGAACTCATTTGGGCGACCAAAAATTTGGGCACAAATTCTTCGACAAATGAACGATTTTCCACTAAAATTTCAGTTAGATATTTGCCTAAGTAGTTCATTATTATTCCTTATTATTCCAGTCATTTTGCTTTCAATTTTAAGCATGTAGGTGGTAGTCTGAGTTGTTTTACATTATGAAATTTACGATCTGCCCAGTAACTACTAAAAAATACAGTACAAAATGATAGATATACAATAGTGATATTTAGTCTCTCAATCAGATAGTTTAGTCTACTTACACTCAGCATATCTTATCATACCCCTTTCACATACAATTATCATTATGACGCCTCACCAGATGGTCGAAAGGTTTGACCAGTGTCCAGTTCTTTGAGAAAATCCTTCTTTCCCACATAGAATCAGTTCGAGCCTCCATCAACAACCCTGAGCAGAAAGCGCTACTGATATCAGATGTGTTTCGGGCCCAACACACACAGACACTAAAAGATCTGATGACAGCCAACAACTGCTTCCTACAGAAAGTTCCAGCTAATATGACCCATCATCTACAGCCCCTGGACATATCTATCAATGGACTGGCTAAGAAATTCATGCGCAATAAGTACGAAGATTGGTACGCGAAAAACATAGTGTGTCAGCTCAATGGAGGAGTTTCATCAGACAATGTGAAAATTGATACCCGCTTGACAGTGATCCGTGAAGTACACGCTCTTTGGATCAACGAACTTTTTGTATATTTAAAAGGGAGGCCAGATGACATAAGGAAAGGCTTTGAGAAGTCGGGTATAACTGATACTTGTAGATCAGACTTTACGGTGGATGATAATCCATTTGCAGATCTTGTTTAAATCTCTAGCTATCCGTACCTCTAGCCATTTGTTTTGTTAGTAGCTGTTAGCTATTCCAGTTATTTCTATTCATTTAAAATATAAGCCTTTTTACTTGGTCAAGCCATGAATGAGAGATTAGAAAACTAAAATTTCAAATATTATTTCACTTGGATATGAAGAAAAAGCCATCTTTCTATAGATTTCAGGGCCACAGGCCAAATGCCAAAAGTTTGGTTAGCAAAAAATTTAGCAGACGGAAAAGATTTATGCAATTAATTTGGTCTGCAAAAAATTTGGGCGAGAGGCCCGCTCAAATTTTTTGTCGCCCAAATTTTTGGGAATTAAGGTAATAACAATACTCAAATACATTTAATCATTATTTACTACTGATTCGACCGTACACACAATTATGCCCCAAACTTAAGCCGCCTGAGCTACCCAAATTCCTACCTCAAATGCGCCATGACCCATGAAGCTATAATATCCTGTCATCTATCTACCTCCATATAATATACATAATAGTTATAACTTGTGTTAATACTTTAATACTATACCATACTACAAGAGTTCCTTTTCGCATACTAGTAGTACACTTTGTGACAATTTGTGAAAAGGAACTCATAGTCAGTCTATAAATCACATGAAAAGCAGTGTGCTCCTTACCCCTTAGTCTCTAGCTTTGTTATCAAAAGAAGTCATTCGATCACGTGATGTTATCTCATTGTAAAGTGTAAACAGGGTTTATTTGCTAGATTACGTGTAGCGATGGTAAAGTATTAACACAAGTTAACTAATAATATTATGTATATGAGTACAGATTCGAAGTGGAACATCGAGTTCTGGCGTTCTCAATGGATCACATCAGCGTTAGAACAGTGGGAGCAACGTCACAAGATTACCCGTGAGATTGTGAAATACGAATGTGATCCGAAACCCTTAATTCGACTGTCGGACAGATGTCACCCAATCCTTATCCATGTCTACTGATCATTATGGTGGAACTGTACCTGTGAAGTAGTGGCGCGTGAACGGGGCTGCATACACGTGCTGTGAACGTGATCTTTGGACTGTAAATACATATCATTTGAGTTGAGAGTATTATAGTTTTAAGTTTTTGAAATACTTACAACTATAATTATAATAATATAATACTCTCAACTCTCAGTTCTCATCCTGTTTAATATCCTGATCCTCCGAGAGCACGTTATTTTTTATTTCCGTGACCCCCACGCTTGTTATTTACAATGGCGAGCTATTAACAGGCTTTAAATTATATTTGATACAATACTTTTCTCGGTTGGGTACCAGACGCATCCTTGTCAAGTAGTTTCCGTTTTACAATATATATTTTAACAAGATGTTGTTGTTCTGCATGTTATGGTGGTCAAGAAATAGATTTAAGTTTAACTGAGTAATAAAAGTTAAAAATAGGGGACAGCTACTTTTTGGCTCAATCTAGGTTACTGAAAACAATATAAACATTTATAGCTGGATTTTAAATTTTGACTTTTACTTAAAATTAACTTTGTCTCAGTAAAATTCTTTCCAACTGTACCATGATCTATTGCATTCATTAATGTTTCGATAGATTCTTAAATATTTAGCTTCGATACAGTGCTCGACAAAGAAAGTGGCCACATGTTTTGCAACATTCCATTTACAATTTGTACCGACCACTTCTGTCCAATCATTTGGAGGAAGTAGCTTTGACAAAATTTGATGTTCCCTCTAAACTTATAAAAACACCAACACGACATTGGAGGATCCAATGTCGTGGATCATTGACATCATGTCTTTAAAATCGATTGTTTAAATTTCTGCTGACTTAAAAACTTAAAAAGTCTTCTGAATCGTGACTGGACGCGCCGAGCACTGCATCTAATCTACTAAATCTTAAATACTTAACTTAATTGCTCATTGTTCTACTTCCAATTTTGAACCAAAGTACGTTAATAGTCACCACAACACGTCAATTGCTTTCTTCACAATTTTAATTGCATTGACCTCTGGCATGATATCAGTGATGTAATCGTGCATTAAAATTTGTGAGACAATGCCCTATGCACCGCAATTATAACTACCATGTCAATATCAGACAGTAAGAGCCGGATTGCACGTCATCTGATCACGGGATCTTTGGAAACATCAAGCGGGATATAAATACTTGCTCTGGAGGATTCTCTAAATTTTGAGTTGTCCACCCAGGCATTGTTAACGTTGTCCATTATTTAAATGTTTGCTTATTCGAGCACCGATAAGATGCCCAACCCCAACCGTAGCTTCTTACCACCTATACCCGTCCCCATCAGGTCCCGACTCGGTTTAGTTGGGTCAGAACCTATGGCTAAACTTTCATCCAGAACACATTTCCCATCACTCGACCAAGAGGTACGAATCTTATCAACTAGTTAAACTTAAACTAGTTCCTGTTTTTTGGTCTATCAGTTACCATCTAGAATGAAATTTGTAATTTGTATTTATATTCCTGTACTTGTAGGTTTTGTATCATGTTACCTTTTTGCTATCGTGGAAAGTTATCTCTAGAAGCCAAAATTCCTTGAGCCCATAATTTCCTCAGAAACCCCGACGTTCAGAAACGAACACAAACATGGAGAAGATAAGCACCAAGGTAAGCAGAAAGAAGGGTGATCAGAAGAATAATCCAGTAACCAGTCCTCCACCATCTGCCAGCAGTAAGAATCATTCAAGACTTCATACTTATTACCTAATCACTAAAGAATTTGCAAACCCTTCAGCTCATTCATATTGCCAGTCGAAGGAACCATTTGTGTTACAGTTTCTCAACTCAAATCGGACCTCAATCCCCTGCCTCCTAATCCACGGTTGTATTTAATATTTACCATGTTTTTTTGCGCAGGTAGCAGAAAACGCGGTGGAAATACCGGGAAGTCCAAATCCTCATCATCTAAAAACACAGCCGAATCTCAGGTGTCTCTTGTGAATGTGATAAGGCTACAGAGAAGCAACAGTTCCAAATGTAGCTTGAAACTTAAGGACGAGGAACCCGCGGAGCCTCAAGCCTTGCGCCGGGCGACTGTGGAGCTTAAGTCTGGAAATAACTTCTATCTTCCCAAGAGGAAGCTTATCCACAAACCTCTGGAGCCCTTCAAACTGTTCATTAATGAGAAACACGCCCTAGCTAAACTTGTCTGGCTCTACCTTCTGGAGGTATGTCAACAGTGGTTATTCGAGTTTTATGCGTAGCATCAGCATTCAGCGTTGAATCTCGAGGGAGTTAGAAGTGACACACACCCTGAAATAGTATTGTAAATCTAAACTTTTGAAATGTTGAAAACGCTTTTTGACGGAACAACCACCCCCAGTCCCAGATGCCGTTCCAGAAGATAAACATAACGTCTAAGGAGGGCGCGGAGGCGACATCATCAGTTCCGTCCTATTGTAAACACTGCATATTCGTGGATGGCGACAACTCCATGGGACAGCCGTACGTAGCACAAGTTTAATGTTGTTCATTAAAATTTCTATAGCTACTTGATGATGTTTGAATTGCCACTCGATATAAATTCTTTATGCATGTTTCTTATCTATGACGTAGTGAGTTTGTATGATGATCATCGGTTTCATTTGATCTTTACGATTACATCAGTGCAATTTTTAAACCGGCGCAATGAACAATCCTAAGCCGGTCAAAGTCAAAGCGATTTTAAGCGAGTACTGTTTGGATGATTTCAATGGAATTTATCACTTTAAACGAGCTGCTGCAGGTGAAAATTACAGAGAATGAAAACAATTGACTTCTTTTCAGGACAGCGATTATCCGTCATATTTGTAACAACTACACTAACAACCTGTTAATGGGAGCAGACACGAGCCAAATCAGCCAGGGGTTCAGCTGGCTACACTGGGCTGTTTCTGTTCTTCACAGGTATAGAAATCTTCAAACTAACTTTCTCTTTCACTTTCTCTTTCTCTCTAATTTCGTCTCCAATTTTATTAACTATCACATCCTCGATACTACTTCTGTTATGTGTTACTTGTTTGTCAATTTAATACAGTTGATATTCAATTTGTTTCGAGAAATGTGGACATCTGAAAACATGGCATACCTTTTTAAATAAGCTCTACATTACACTTAGTACTTACCACGATACGCATCATGAATCGACGTCCAACAATCCTTGTGAAGAATTGCAGGTAAAAACAAAATTGCTCTATCTAATTTACAACTTTTTCAGAGATTTGTTCTATCTAAATAACGGACAGTTGAAGAGAGGGGCTACTAAGGACACTACAAACGAGCTGGTCAAGTCGTCTCTAGATAGTGTTTCTCTCTACTTTGATATGTTGGACAAAGTAAGTTACAATATTTATCAACGCCTCTTCTAAGTTTTCTAGACTTATTGTTCAGTCTAAAGTTTAGATATTCCCCCTAGATTTACAAGTTTCAACTTTGATCCCTCAGATATTCACAAGTAGAGACTATCCCCCCTAGCTTTACAAGTTTCTAACTTTGATCCCTCAGATATTCACAAGTAGAGACTACCTGCTGGGGAGCGTGGCCTGGTTCTGTGACAGTGCTGTTGCTTTAATCCTCGAAGATGCCTCCTCGCTCTCCCTCTCCTCCTGGCCCAAAGTACTCGACTGGTTGGAACGAGTTAAGGAGCAGCCCAATTGGAGTGTTGTGACAGCACTCTGATCAAAATGTGTGGCTTTTTGAGCAGAGAATGGAAAACGATTTTACGGTATTAATTTTTACCAAAAGTGAAGTGATAATGTAACTGTAAGCGGCGGTACACTGAATGCGATTCATGAAGCATCTGAGATATGAAGAGATACATAGTTGGTATGGTCAAGGAATTTAACATGTCGAATTCCTGGTACCGTTTCTTGATTCAGTTGTATTGAATGTTAAAATAGGAGTACTGTACATTGGCTATATCTTGTCCGTACACTTTACAATGATAGTTGTACGGACGGAAATATGGTAAATGTTCATTGTTCATAGAGACAGACTCTTATTATTAGTGTTCTAGTTTTATTTTTTCAAAATATTTGCGACTTTGCTTAGTATGATTTCCCAGATTATTTGATGTTATAAATTACTCTATGTTAAGTTTTGATTTGCTGTTGGATTTTAAAATTTCCTTTATCCATTTGTTTTATTTGCAGCTTGTTTTATACTGACAGTATAGAATTGAACACGATAAGATATTTTTAGAAGGCAAACAGAAAACAGTAAAATTCTCAAAACGTGATCTAGGAATGCTACTTTATCTAAAACATGCTTAATCTTAAACCTCGAAATAACATGTCTTGTTTGGGTTATCTTTACCAGCTGTCAGGTATCATGATTAGATAAATGAATTACAACCCCCCTTGACACGAGTCACGACCGGTCATGAATGATGAAACTGTCACTTTCCATCTGGTTCAGATATAATTATTAATTGTTCGGTAAATTGTCTTGGTAAATAGGTACGTGATTTTAAGGAGTTTTTCTGTTGAAACAGTTTCAACAGAAACTAAACCCAACCTGAACGAGTCAATGAATCTTAGTCTTATCAACTTGACTAGTATCTGAAACGAGGTAATCTAGTTAAAGTTCTGGACTCATTCCACTTGGCAGTGTACACTGTACGGCTATATTACACTCACTTCTCCTCAACTGCTCTTGTCCACCTGCTATGGTTTTTGTCGGCAAACCTGAGATTTTATTATGGTTTTAACGCCCTTCCTGGTTGTCGAAAATACCTTCCAAGTTGTGGTTTATACTTCTTCTTTCTAGTTAGAATCGAAAAATGCGGTATTTGATAATTCTGATGGTTTTATTTTTCTCAGATTACCCACTTTAGGATTTCAGTTTTAATTTGATTTTACGTCTGTGAAATTAAAAAATGTTTTCTTAATCGACATGTGCATATCAGAGCACCAACCCCGTGGTTACAAGGACTTGAACTTGATTAGGCTGCCCGGCCCTGGCCCTGGATCCAGCCTAGCTGTTAATTACTGTTTGGCTGGCGAATATCTAATCTTTTTAGAGCAAGTAGGATCACGCGCCTTGTCTAGGCAGAGAGCTGGCCGGCCCTCCCAGTCTCTGGTCACCTTGTGAGGGAGTGATTAGTTCCCACAAACGTGCTAACTTGTCAGCATTCCCAACTTGCTAACATTCCCTGGTGCTATTATTCCTCTCAATCGTATTATCTTCTAAATAGCACTTCTATTAACACTGTCCTCCCCAATCCTCCAGATTTGAATCGAGTTCCACATTTTTTTGTCTGCCCTTCTAACAGTATGACCTCCAGCGAAAAGTCGTCCCCAAAGTATCGTCCTGTGCCAAGTGTACAGGGATCTGAGAGTATGGTGGGAGAGAAGAATCTCACGCGGCTTATTGGTGCTGCCACTATCCTTGCTTACTTCAACATAGCCTACTGTGTGGCCCTTATTGGCCCTACCCTACTTGACCTTCTTCAGTTGGTAAGGGTCTTATAGTTACAGAGGCACATATTAGGTGCGGTAAAATAATCGAAATTATGCGGTACCGCACCCGACTATAAAGGTAAAATGTGCGGTAAGGTGCGGTAAATTTTTACCAATTATGCGGCAAATGTGCGACGATTTTTTCGAAATTTGTGCGGGAATTTTGCGGTTTTCTTTTGCATTTTCTGAAGGACTTTGGAAATTCTAAACGTATAACCGCCGCTCTTATCAAAAATAGGTCTGTTTATGTGTTACTGAGGGTGTAGTTCTTTACTAAGACCATGATTGAACCTATATTGAGATTCAGTTATCTGAGAACAGTGACTTGATCTGGTAGAGATCAGGAGACAGTTATTTGAAGACGCCTCTTGATAGAGTCGATCAGATCCCATGCGTGATCGCAAATATGTGACACGCTTGTTGGTATTGATCGTCAGTACTTGTAAACCATTTGATCCAAGATCCATTAAGCCCACTATAAAAAAGCCAACGCTACAACGAATAGAGCTCATTACCCTATAAAAAGGGCTGCATGTATGATCGAAGTACGGTAACAACGAGGGTTCCATAACGGCCTGGGTCACAGTCCCGAAAGGGCCTGGGTCACGGTCCCGAAAGGGCCTGGGTAACGGTCCCGAAAGGGCCTGGGTCATGGTCCCGAAAGGGCCTGGGTCACGTGGTAACCGGGTCACGTGGCCTAGGCATGAGTTCCAAAAGGGCCTGGGTCAGGGTCCCGAAAGGGCCTGGGTCACGTGGTAACTGGGTCACGTGGCCTAGGTCACGGTCCCGAAAGGGCCTGGGTCAGGGTCCCGAAAGGGCCTGGGTCACGGTCCCGAAAGGGCCTGGGTCACGTGGTAACTGGGTCACGTGGCCTGGGTATGAGTTCCAAAAGGGCCTGGGTCACGGTCCCGAAAGGGCCTGAGTCACGGTCCTAAAAGGGCCTGAGTCACGGTCCTAAAAGGGCCCGACTTTTAACATATTTTGGTTTTTACACTCGAAAATCTTAACGCGAAAATTTCCAAATTATGCGAAATTACTCGGAAAATGCTAGATTATGCGGAAATATGCAGAATATTACAAAATGTGCGGAAGTGTGCAGAAAACAATAAATTATGCGGAAATGTGCGGAAAACGGTAAATTGTGCGATCCCGCACCCATCGCACCTAATATGTGCCTCTGTATAGTTATACTTAGGTAGTAAGTTATATTTCTTAAAATATAACCTTATCGGAACCAGAAATGAAAACACATACTTGTATTCTCAACGGCAACGGATGTTAAATCTCGACTTATTGTTTCCAATATCCCTGAGTATGTGATTGTGCAAAATCCTATCCGGATGGTACAAAACCAAAAGTGCATGATCAACCTAACCGTAATCAATCACCACTCCACCCCGCAGACTCATGTTAGCTGGGACAGAATGGGAGTACTGCTGATGGGGCGGGCTGGCTGCACGGTACTGGGGAACATTGTAGCCGGGCTGCTAGCCAACTGTAGCCTCTTCTCCCTTCTCCTAGTACAGGCCCTCTCTCACACAGTGGTCATGGTGTCGCAGGTCAGTGTGTGTCCCTCAGCAGGGTTGTGCTCTTCAATTAGAACTTTGAAGGTCGTTAGCTTTAAAATGGTCAGGATCTGCTGTGGCTGTCCGTGTCAGGATTTAACACTTACCCGCGGCTTTATTGTTACAAATGGAGGATTCCGTCAGAACGTTTGATGACGTCAACAATAATTGAAGGGGATTTTAGCTATCCGATAGTTCACTCCTCACAGTTTAAGACTAGGTTTCCGGGTGTTGGCACTGTGTGAAATCTGGGAATTGGGATAAAGTTAGGGTCTAGGGTCTAAGTTTAGGTGTAGGGTTACCATTCAGATTTAACATATATCTTCAATTAATTCAGGTGTTCATCCCTCTGTGCAGAAACCAAACGGAACTTCTACTAGTGTTCATTATACAGGGAGTATTCCTGGGAGCCAATAACAACCTTTCTAACCTGCTTACTTTAGTAGTTCAGGGACAGTCAGCTCATGCTTGGATGCAGGTACATACTTGGGCCTATAATATACGGGCACCTCATTCTCAGAGTGAGCCAGTATCTCTGGTATGTGTTATTTATCGTGAGATATTTTTAGATACTTCTATTCCCCGCTCCTACCGTACCAAGTTCTTTCCCATTATGTTGTAAACTTCGCAAAAAACTCGTGGTTTTGTCGAGGGTTGACGCAGGTATAAGTCGGGGCAAGTATCTGATCATAATATAAATATTTTTAGACCACTGATTTGTAAAATTAGACCACATTTTACTATTTAGGAATTATAAAAAGTAATACTCAGTAAATAATTGGTTGGTTATACCACAAATCTCTATTAAAGTGATATTATTTGACCACTAAATAATATTACAGAGGAAGTACTATCTGTATGCAAAATATTGACACTAATGATCTCAAGCAGTTCTAGATCATTTGCTCATATCATTACGGCATGCTTGGTCGAATAAATGTTGCAGCAGTCACGAGAAAAAACATTAAAAACATAAAAGTTATAAAAAAACATAAGATTAAGAATGTAGCGATGAGTACCTGAACTCTAGACCATGTTTTGATACGACGAAGGCAATAAAGAAAACTGCAGACTGCAGACTGCAGCTTGTGCAGACTGCAGAGTTGCAGTTTTAAGACGAATATTTGGGACCTTCTGAAATGTACAACCATACTCCAAGAAAAGTTCACAGACCAAATAAAGTAAAATTTGTAATACTTTTAGGAATACCATGGTTGGGTATCAAATTCAGTTAAAATTATCCCTAAATCTAATTCCAGGGTCTGTTCATGGCGTACTCAGGTGCAGTCCTCTTAGCCCCGATAGTATCTACCCCCTTTGTAAGCGAAGCAGCAGCCAAACAACAAAGTTTCCTCTCTTGCAACATCTCAGCCAACGTGACCAGCCACTCTGCAGCGGTCCTGTTAACAGATGAAATAGATTTGAGGATCCCTTACTGGACCAGTGTGGTTCCTTGTAGTATGGCTGTGGTTCTGTTTGTGGTGTCCGCTGTGTGGACTAGGGTGTCTAGGTTCAAAACTCCCGACATGCTCGATAGAGGTATCGGTGGCATTTTTAACTGGATTTTAAACTTATGTGAATGATTTTTGTTAATATGTGATTTTAAGATTGGATGCAGATTTTGATGGTTAATGTTGATGTGAATTTATTGTTTACAGCAACTATTGAGTTATCAGTTGAGTCCTTTATAATTATTAATTATACTTAAACCTCATCCTCTTCAGGTCCTGGTCGGCAAATAAAACCTGTTGTAATCGTACTATCATTCTTCCTGGCCCTGCTCTACTTCACATTGGATGGAGTTACCGGCAGATTCATATTTTCATTCGCAGTAAAGGTGTGTTTAACTTTAAGTAGGATATTTATTATTTATTGAGGTGGGGTATGTGCGTAAGTATGAGAGTAATAACAGCAAGGTATCAAATATACAATCAATGGAAATGTAGGTTTTTCACGTTAAATAATGGTCAATTGCCATTAATGTTTATGTTCAAGATGGCTTTTGAGCTATTTTGCCCGTACCTGAATAATCAGTATCTAAAAATAGTAACATTGTGTAAAGCCTGACTCTAACAAACACCTCCCCAGTCCAAGTTGTGTTTGAGTGTCAAGACAGCTGGATTGGTGACTACTCTCTATGGTGGTGCTACCTGTCTTATGAGGGGCCTGTGCACTGCCGCCGCTGCTATCAGACCTTCTCTTGTTAAACCGGTATTTTAACTTGAATTATCTGAATTTTCCTTAGTTGTGCTGTTTAAACTTTAACTCAAGTTAATTGAGCGACAAGCTCGAATGTGAAATACTAAAGTCTCATTCTTAATTTAGTAATGATTAGTTTTCAAGTCCGCTATGTACAACATAATATTATCATCAATAGGTTCAGATAACTTGACCTCCATTTATAATAATCCCAACCCCCCCCCCCCCCCCCCCCCTCAAAAGTGTCAAATCACCAGCTTTAATAAATCCCAGACACGGTTACTGACAGCTAACCACGTGGCCTTATCAATATCACTGGTTGCAATTCTTATCGGCAGAGATTCTTTCATTCCAGCTGTTTGGATATTCGCATTCTTCTCAGGTTATTTATAGAATAATTTGATAAAAACTTTCGACTAAATTATGAGATCGTGAATTTCATAATGACAATGTATTATATTATAGTTTTGATCTGCCACCCAAACAGCAGATACCCTTATTTTTGTATTTGGGAATTTCAAAAGTAATGTACTCTTGTAAATGAATGAAAAAAGAAATCTAGATCAGGTACATTTTACAGGTATAGGGGTCAGTAATGGGTTCCCCTCCTTGATGGCTCTAATCAAATCTCAAGGAGCTAGTAAAAAAGTTATATCAGTTTTGCCTATTGGTGGAGGTATAGGGATCACTATAGGTCCACTACTTACAACCTATCTAATGAATGATAACGGTGAGTTAAAAAAAGGAAAACTCGAATAAATCTTGTAGTGACCGATATTTTAAATTTGATTTCCAGCTTTAAATATGTCTCAAGACTCGCCTAATTTCATATAACAATGACTGTGGTAGTACAATTAAATTGTTTTAATCTCATTTTCCCTCCTAGTTGCTGGTCCAGGGCCAGGTTTCTACTCACTATTCTGCGTAGTAACGCACCTAGCAACCCTTCTATTCGGTGCCCTCATGACCACAATAGACAGTCACGTGGTACCACAAAGAGCGGAGCGCCAAAAGAACGTGAGCATATCGTACGGAAAGGACCAGGGAATCATTGTTAACGATAATATCTCCGACAAGGACGCGGACTCGAGTTGTGAAGCCAGGGGCCAGAGACAAGAGGGGTTGTCAAAATGATACGAGACAATCTCGTGATGCATATAATATGATATATTGACTGTCGCAGTCGGCTTGATTGTTGACTGATTATTGTGACAGGACCGTGATTTGGGAAATCAAAGAATCAGTGATTGAATGGAGCCTGTGTATGAGGTTATGGTTTTATCTTTAAAGTTTGATTTCGTTATTTGCATTAACCTTCACGGTGCCAACATCTTAATTTTCTTTGTCACAATCCAGCCGTAAAACGGTATAACGATAATACTGTTATAGCGTAATGTCTATTTTTCGCGACAATTTCCTTTCAAAATCTGAGAAGTGACAAAAGTTGAATGAGGGCGAGAGGACATGAACAATGTTCATAGTCTCGGGCATATCTCTCCTAAGTAAAAATTGTAACAAATTGGCCATTCTTCACCATCTTTTTATACTTCAAAGCAGTCGCTCGTACTGGCGTAGATAGTCCAGTATCTGGTAAAGGGTAGAACTCTATCCTTAGACTAACGTGCCACATTAGTCTTCAGGGACAAAGTAATGTGAATTAAATTGTTTTGTACGCTCAAGATTCCACGACGGCACATTTGAAAGTTTCGTGCCTAGCGTCAAATGTTATAGGTGATACCGCTGAGAAAATGTAAATTACGAAACAAAACAACAAGGGTTATGATAATTATTGAAAACTATAAATTATAAAATATCAAAATTAACGACGAATTGATAAAGCTAAAATTCATGATTCATGTTATTGTTATAGAATTAACATGATATTCAGATATTGTCAAGAAATAACTATCCCAAGTATGCAGTAGAGCTCATTTCTTGATCACTTAAACTCTAACCTAATAGTCCAATAGCCGTCAAATTTGCTTAAGTTGATCAAGGTATAGAGATGTGGGAAGCTATTCTTGTAAAACTCCGATAATTTGTACTCAAGGAAAATTTGTTGTACTTGATGAATAATTTACCTAATCATTTAAAATCTAACACGCATGCTTGAAAATGTGCTTTATATAAGTTAATAAAATCATTTCAAATAAATCACATATATTAAAGTTATCAACAGGCAGTGACTCTGTCTTTCTTCAAGTTCACTAACTCAGCCAACATTCAATGCCTCGAATCTTCTGTGGCTACTAGATCAAAGTTTGTCATTCGTTTTCAATACTACTGATACGACTCTCCACTGGTAGCGTACTCCGAGGGACCAATAGTTACTAAATTACAACCAGACTTCCGTTATCTCTTAATAAACTTAAGTTTAATTTCTTCAGGCCGAAGGACAACATCAGAGTACACCTCACCAAACTTGATGCACTCAATGTCATCGAATGTTCTGACTACCTGGACCAAAGCGGTCATCATTTCCATTAGTGCAAATTTGCTTCCGATACAGTTACGGGGACCAGATGAGAAGGGAAGGTACGTGAACGGTGTTATATCTGAAGTAATAATGTTGTTAAGTAGTTGTACTGTATTGTCACTTGTTTGGAAAGTTTGTGACAGTTATTGTGTCTTCGTTTTTACTTTTTACAAACTTTTCTGCATTTATGTCTCTGTCTGTATATATTTTTCTGTAGCTACTCTGTGTCCTTAATTTGTCTAAATGCATCAGGATTCAAATTTTCATTTATAGATAACATGTTCTACTTTTTATGATGTCTCAGCATTAAACGGAGGATAAAATTTCAATCTTTGGGAACTTACTTTTAATATTTATTTCGTTGAACCTCTCGGGGTCAAATTTTAGAGGGTCCTTCCAATAGTCCTGATGTCGGTGTAATGAGTAGAAGTCTGCGGAGTGAACTGGTTACTGGTTACTGGTTACTGGTTACTGGTTACTGGTTACTGGTTACTGGTTACTGGTTACTGGTTACTGGTTACTGGTTACTGGTTACTGGTTACTGGTTACTGGTTACTGGTTACTGGTTACTGGTTACTGGTTAAATGATTAAAATCTCAATAATTTCCTTTGACGCACTTATAGCAAACCAAGTCTGAGCGGGAAAGTCTATCCCACAAATTGAGAGAGGTCTATCAGTACGTTTAGCGATGATTGGTACAGATGGATACAGACGTAACGTCTCTTTTATACACTGGTTCACGTAGGGAAAAATGTCTTGTAGATTTTCTGTGCAGTCGTCTAGATCAACTGCGAAACATGATATTAACAAGGGGGAGGAATTGAGAATTTGGAGTGATTTATGGCGGTTTTCGAGTTGTTGTTGTTGTGGTCCCGATAAAAATTTCAAAATCTCAACAAAAAAGCCGTCGTAGACATAATCTTCAAGAATATAAACAACCCTAAAATCTCCGTCCCCCAAAGTTGTCCCACCTGATGAGTTTAAGACCTCGTCCCTGCACCGTTTCCAGCAGTCCTTGTGCTGTGCTAGGAGCACCAGGCTAAATGCCATGGCATGTGCCGTGGTGTCGTGTCCTGGATAAGAACTCTCGTTGGAAGGGGGTTTTGTCCAATTGTTGGCTCACACATGATGTTCTTCGAGAATTAATCAATTTTATAAGAATGCATTGTCTCGTTAACGAGAGTTTTTCTTGATCTTCGCCAGGTTAGACTCCATTGACTACAGTCTATCCTGATTGAAATTTATGGTGGGCCTAATTTGGCGTTCTATTGTTTAAAACTCCGTCTAACTTTTGACAGAAAGGAAAAAGACGGGAAGGAAAACATTTTAAAATAACCGTAAAACGAAAATGGAGGTTCTTACCCGCGAAAAGAATTGTTGTAACCTCGTTGGCAAGATCTAGTGTGGTTATGGAATCTGGCGCACTCAGCACATGTGATATGATATTATCTTGTGGGCTTTCTGCCTGTAAAGGGAAGTGTCATGATCATTGACACTAAGATCGAGATATATCACGAGATTCCATATTTAAATCAGTGCAATGTTTAAAAAGGTCGTGTCAAAAACTTTGATCATCTATCCCTTAGATGTCTATTGTCTAGTCAATACAGTCAATACATTACAGTTATTGTATTGTCACCATTCACCGACAGAAAACAGAAAATACTAGGGAGCCTGACAAAAGCTTACATTTGATTTCTCGATGATTTGTTGAGAGAATTCTCTTGCTTCTTTAACCAGTTCGAGGAACTTCCGCCCTGCCGGCAACCTATAAGCAAATTCGTTTATTAACATAAACACAATTCAGCCATTAGTCTTGTATTTACGGACCTTGTCATTTGATTGAACTAAACCGATGATCTTTGCCGGACTCTGCCGCAAGTTAGTCTTGTCGACCCGCATGGCGTACATCTCATTATTCATGACTTGCTCACACGGGCTTTAAAGGACTAAAGGAGGGTTGCACGTGCGAGATATTAATGTCCTGCGCTATGTGTGTTCTCATCTCATACGACTCTCAAAAATGACCATGAGCTGGCCATGCGAAAATTTCCGTTTGAGAATGAACTGATAAAACAACTTATAACAGTCTCATGCTAACTTTCTAACCTGAAGAAGATCCAGTCAAGGTACCAGATAGGATTGTAAATACGGCGAGTTAGGATGCTGACACACTCAGATACTATCTTGACAAATCTGTCAACTTTGGGGTCGTGTTGCCACGCTGCTTGTAACGAGAATGTGCAACTGTTCAGGTGGGGTGCTAAGTTTTATTATAATGGAATTATAATGGAATTATAATGAAACGTGTTTTAGGGTCTATTATTAGCCTAACGGTAGTTGAAAATGCGTTTACCTGCGCACAGTTGTCAATTTTACTGAATTTTTATTTTATACCACTTTCTTACCTTAATAATGTGTCGAGTGCAAGCATCCCACATTCGTGTGTAGCATTTACTTCAGCCCCGTCCATGCCTGGAATTTAGGACTAAACACTCCATTAAACCGTTACTCTCCATTAAAGTTAAACATTCACATTCTGAACTCTGAATCAGAACAACAAAAATGTATCTTAAAAGTTTGTTTAGAATCTAAAAAACGAGCTTTTGGATTCCAAAGAAATAATAATATTGAAACCTTCTAGTTTGTCGGTGAATGCTTTGCAACTGTCGACGATCTTATGCCTGTAGCTGTTAAGTGCTTTTCTGTGAAATGCTTTGTTTATGAGTCTTCTATGTTTACCCCACTTTGGCTGACTAGCTACGATCAGACCTTCTCCTGAAAATTTAGTGTATTATTGTAAAAATCCGTCAATGATCGGTCATATATGAATCCCATCAGCTAGAAACGGAGCCGCGTGATTTAATTGAGATCGAGGGTGACTGAAAATTTAGCGTTATTCGAATTCAACTTTGATATAAGTTTATCAATAGCTATTGTTTTTTTCTAGATTTTCGGTCAATGACCACTTGACTGTTTTGATAATATGATTATGAGAAAGTTGGATTTGTAATCACAATTCCACAAAAACTGTGAGATTTATTCCAAAATTGCTCGTATGGCTTATTCGATTTAGTTATACTTGTAGTCCCACGAATCCATTTAAACTGTCTAACGATTTCTTTGTACAGACCCAAAGTCCATTAAGCCACTCTGCTTTACTTTCTGTTTCTCTTTAATGACGAAATATTGGACCTGGGGTAACTGTCGACGTGACGAAGATGAAAGTTTTTGTCAAATTTCAGGATAGAAGATTGTTAGCAGATAGGTGTCATGAAATTAAGTAACAATCTGCAGACTAGAATAGAGATCTATGAGAGATTAGAGAATTTCTGAGAAATATCTGCCTGGAGAATGTGTATCAGTATCACGATGTGACAGACACCAAAGATCGCCGATTAAGTGGGTGTGCTCAGACTTTTGATACTGACTGTACTAGATCTAATAAGGTCTAGCCAAACCTGAATGAGATACGAATGGGCAGTTATAGGTGCTATCTTCTAAACTTCTCATCTCACTGGACATATCAACCCTTAACATTTTACCCCTGCCAAGTTGAACACGATGTTTTTGCAAAGGGTTGAGTTTGGGATAGTTTGGGAAAGTGTTCTAGGACTTACGGTTATAATTAAGGATATAAGTCATGTCCAAGTCCAAGTATTGGCAGCTGAAAGGTCGTTACTCGTGCTTATATCAAATTTTATACTGCACCCTTCAGTTTAAATCAGGTGAAATCAGGTGAAATCAGGTGAAATCAGGTGAAATCAGGTCCCCACCTGTATCTACAAAACATATCCCCGCAGTACTTGGTGATCATCACATACGGTCATCACGTTTCCTAAGACGTTGTAAAACGAACACCCACGCTAATAGATCTGTTTAGTGCCGACAAACACAGGCTAACACCTGACAGAACCTTGGCCTTACCTGTATACGCTTCAAGGAAGCGGTAGACGTATTTCCTTTCTTTGGGCAGATTGAGGGAGAGGAGTTCCCGTATCGGGACGGGGTGATGTACGTAAGTGATAGGAATAAAGGAGGATACCATGTACCTGAGACAAGAGCATGGAGTTTAAAACCGTGTTCCTGGCACGATGACATTATAGGGAGTTTAAAACCATCAAATATTTGTGACGATCTGGACTATGAGTTTTTTAAAGATAGTACATCCAGTGCTGCACCTGTTTAAAAAACTACACATTTCGGACGCTGATCGGAACGTGACAAAAAGGATACAATTACAATTAATCAAATCTATCCAATATGTACGTATTTTGGGTTTTATAACTTATATTAAGCTTGACACGCCTGTAATAGCTAGAAATACCTAGGGGCTAGGGGCTAGGTTTACATACTTGACCATGACAGGGAACCGTTTTGTCCATTCGTGAAATCTCTGGAGACCCGCTGGTCTGATGGGTACCGCCGTAGGGATGTGCCCGAATATGGGCCACACCCAGGGTCCCGGGACCACTGACTCGATGTAACCATTGTGGGTACAGTATTTCCAGAATATAAGGAAGAGTTGTCTGAGTGCCCAGATGAGAAGGACGCCTTGTAGTAACAGGATGTAGGGACACCAGTCCTGTTGTGCAGTCCGGCTAGTGCTGCTGGGAGTTTGAAGTATATTCAGAATTGTTAGATACTTCATGGTTATAAGAACTAGAAGCGGTGTGATGATGTTCATTGCGAACGCCAGTCAGTTGAGAATGTTAGCCTGTTTTATTTTAGTTTTTATTTTTTTTACCGATCTGCATTATAACACCTCTCAGCTTATCTGCAGATTTGTTAGCTTCTCTATACCAAGAAAAAATCCCTTCATCTATTGAGTATAAAACCAAAAGGCCGCATTAAGATTAATATTTCAAATAAGGGACCGTTCACAGAATATTTTGTACGACTGGACTAAGCTGTATCTGACCTGTATATGAGAATTTGGAATTTGGCTCAGATCCAGTGATCTGTCCTGCTAGAACTGCATTACCTTGTCAACGGACATTTTATATAGACATTGAGACAATGTTGACTTCTTAAAATTAAACTCTTACTCTTAGACAGATCATTGTTTGGTAACCTCAATTTGGGAGCAAGGAGGCTCACGTTCATCATTTGTGATTTGAGAAGGGGTCAAAAGGAGTCGGGCGAGTTTCAATGCATAGTTATTAAATATATAAGTTTAACTTAAATAAAGAGTTACCTGATATGTTTGTTTTTGTTTCTAAACAGTTTCCAGAAGTAGATATATTGACTCATCCCAAGGGAATCGCTTAAAGCGAGCGGCTGAGGTTTTTGTTGTAACTCATCCAGATCTGGAGTGAGTCAACTCACCATTTTCTAAATCTGAGCTGCAGTTATTTTATTTCAATTAGTTTAACTGATTTAAAAAATGCAATAGACGAAGTTGTCGAACTTAACGAATACCAATGACTCGGATAATCTTGAATGAATCGGTATCCACTGTCCAAAAATAATGCAATTCTTTGGATATACAGCACAGCAGTCTTTCGGTATTTCAACAAACTTTTTTTCTGAACTGTGATTTCACGTGATATCTTTGAAGAAGTGAGTCTTTCTAACGATAAACAAACGTATGAAACAGTAATTTAAAACTAGTAAACTGAATTTAACAACTCCATCAGCTTTTACTGCTAATTTTTGCAAAACTGACGAGGCTACTATTACGACACAGTAGTATGTGAAAACGTAGCATTAGGATATCACGATTATTATTATTAGATAAAAGTTCTAAACAATGGATAGTTAAAAAAACAACGCCCAAGTCTAATCTTTCCCTAAAACAAATAACTAGATATCAAAACTTCATTGTAATTTCTGCCAATATGTCTTATCATGAGCTAAATAACGGAGAGTGTGGGTGTCAATATGCACCCTGACCCACATAGCTCAGCTCATTCTGTGAGAAATTTAAAATTTAAAAATTGAATACTCATCCGGCTATTGTTTTAAATTTAATTAAAACGCCAACCAAATACGCACGCAGTGAAAGCCGCGCATTTAAAACGGTTGTAGTGGAGTTCAGATCGGCGTTATCAAGTGATAAAATACTTTTTGTTGATAAAGAGAATTAACTTACCAGGGGTAACAATTTACTTTACTTCTTAGCGAGACTTGTACAAAAATACTCGCACAACTGTCTACATTCAAGACACGCCACTTTCCACTTTGCTCCAACTTTACCTAGATACGATTAAGGTTGGTTTGATCCGGTATCCCTTAAATATATTTCTTCAGTTCGATGTATTTCCTCAATTTAATGTTGAAGTTCTACTGCAGTGTATGGGGAGTTGTTAATTTATAGTATTAGTATAAGGTGTACCGGTTGTCCATGTGTTTACAGACAATGCTTGTATCGATTGTAGTTCCTCTGAGTCGGTATGAATTTTTAATGCAATTAATACCCGAAAAAAACAGTTCACATACACAAGTCGCAACAGAGGCAGCAAAAAATCAGACCACACGCAATACCTTGAAATAGTGCTTATAAAGGCGGGTGTACTACAATGCATCAATTTTAGATAAGTCGTTTAAAAGATTACAAATATAAAATATTTACTACATCATGATCAATGTAATGTCAGATCGTTACAATAAAGAAAATACGCCTAGTCTCAATAAAAAAGAAAGAAAGTTCTCGTGGAAAAGATCGACCAGATAAGTGCAATAAGTGTGTGAGTCATGGATGACTGGCGAGGTGTGATGAAGATGTTGTGATGAAGATGTTGTGATGAAGATGGTGTGATAAAGTGATGAGGTGAAGAGTGATAATGATATCATTTCTTAAAGGTCTTGTTCTTTCGAGACTTTGGGAGGCGTTCTTTTCGGATCTGTTGGATGTGATGGGCGAAGTGTGATAGATGGTGTCCTTCAAATAGTGTCGAATGATCTGTTTAGAAATGACATAATACGGCCTAAGAACTGCAAAAAAGGCTAGTTGATTCCAGGACAGAACTTACTATGACATAATGGTTACAGGACCGGCAATATATTGGAGTTTATTCGGTATTATTTGGAATAAAAGTGTTAATTGAGATTAAATGTCCGAATCCTTAACATAATTCTTAGAATGGCTAGACTTTTTCCCGAATGAAAGTAGCAATGCACGAAATTTACTGAGAAAAAAAGCTCTAGAAGATATCTTCTTACAAAAATGACAAAAAGTGGGCGACAATCTTTCGAAATACTCGTAAACATTCAAGAAAAATCAGTACAAACTCAACCAAAAGTTACGACCACTTACCAGTACCACTATTTGCTGAATTTTGATTTAGTTAGCGCACTCATAATTCAATATTTTGTCCACCATGCTCCTAATTCGATGAGCTACTCCCCAATTTGGGTTATCATCAAAGACGCCTTCCGAATCATCCACAATCACAAATGTCAATTGCGTATTTTTCAATATCGAGGAATGGAGAAACTTTAGAACATTATATCATTATATCGTTTCAAAACTTGGGCGTTTCAGACCAAAAATTTCGGTTTGAATAATGAATATTAATTTAACCAACGAGCTTTTTAGAAATCCGAAGAATACCACAGCAAAATTAAATATCAATTATTCCTGAACAGGAACTACCAAAATGAAGAGCACGGTAAAACATTGTGTCTTCCTGAAGAGGAACTAACAGAATGAAGATCACGGCAAAACATTGTGTCTTCCTGATCAGGAACTAACAGAATGAAGAGCACGGCAAAACATTGTGTCTTCCTGATCAGGAACTAACAGAATGAGAGCACGGCAAAACATTGTGTCTTCCTGATCAGGAACTGACAGAATTAAGAGCACGGCAAAACATTGTGTCTTCCTGATCAGGAACTAACAGAATGAAGATCACGGCAAAACATTGTGGCTTCCCGAAGAGGAACTGACAGACACTCGGAATTTGTCCGGATGAAGACTGGGTAGACTAAAGAGCAGGTGCTAAGATAAGACAATGCCCTTTCAACAAGTCATAGTTCCTCCGACCAACACCTGGAGACTGTTTTCACTTTACTATCTGTGGTTAACGTCAAAATAAACCTACGGTAATATTTTCTGGTGCACGGTTGTCCCATTTTCAGCCCCAACATTGAAGTAATAATAATGTGAAAGACGCCTCGTGATTCTTAGATTTTCCTGATTCTGCATCTCTGTATTGTTATTCTGATTTCGGATCACGAGCCTGAAACTTGTCAGCCGCCTATATCATGGAAAAAACTTCGATAGAGCTATTTTTAGTGAGCCTTGCTAAAGTTAATCTCATACAGAAGACTACAAAATGAAAATGATCTCAATGGTGGTAAAAACAATAAAGTCTGAGTTAAATGAAAGGTTGCATGTAAATGATCGCCACTTCCTCCAAGTTAATTAATCAACGATTATATACAAATCAAATTCAAACCGCTAAATAGGTGAGTCAAACTTACTTGCGACGTGACAATATCGATGATGGATAGTTACAAAGGACCAAAGACAAATTTAAACTTTATATAGATAGCAACAACTAAATAACTAAATAATAAACTAAACACCGTGTTCCGACGGATTGATCGTAAAACAAAGTTAAACAAATTTACATGCTTCTAATTCCCTCGCATGTTTTGTGACATATGTTAACAGTTTCGGGCAATGGCGAACTCTTAATTAGAACAATGACGGGACATAAACGAGGGGACAACAACTTAATAATTGTACACTGAAAAGGCCTGAAGAGGATAAACAATATCTAGAAAACGCAGATCAACCCCTTATTGCGAGGGGAATGCGACGAATTATCCAGACGCTAATGTTAACCTTTTCTGTGATGAACAGATTATTCTGACCTAATACAACTGTTATTCTTTGGAAATTCTTGGCTCCCAATCCCCCAGATCCAGTTTATCCCCTGCATTCCCGTGATAAGTTGCTCTTGTCGCTGGAATTTTTCGTTTGATTACTACGCTTTCTCTCTAAAAGTAAAGCTCGCTTTAAAAGCGCCGCCTAATTAGTTTTATTCGCTTTGATATTGCAATTATAGTGACACAGTGATCAACTGATCATCGTACAATTGTCTAAGTTTAGATTCAAAGTATTAAAGTTATATCGGCAGGTGATTACGTTTTGTTAAGTCGAGCCAGAATGGCAGTGGTGACTAAGAGGTATTCTAGAGGGTTGTGATTGTGGCGAAAAAATGAAAATTTTTAGAACTGAACCGATGTTTGATTGATTTATATTATAGAACATCAGGATAGTTGCACGTTTTACCGGACATTTTGAGTTTTACTTATTTTTCAGTTTTTCTGCATGAAATGACACTATGTTAACGTCATATCTTATAGCTTACTTAGTACCTAATGATCGTGCAGCGCTATAAAGGATCAAGTGTCAAGTCTGCAACACATGTGAAGACATGCTCAAAGGCCGTCTCTCTCAGCTTAACAGACTAAAGCATACAGACGAAAAGATGGTAACTTGATAAGAATAGTGCGACGATGAGAGTGACAAATTTATCCAAACCGCTCGAAACAAATCCAAAGAAAGTTTGGAGAAGGTGATCTCTTTTCTCCACCGTTATACGTAAATCTAATTTCACCTCTGTTCTTCACTCCCGCTATCAGCTCTCGTGTTCACTATTAATCCAGTTAAATGTCTCGTCCGTACAAGGTTACAATTTTGATCCTTTTATCTCTGGTAACTATAAGCTGTCGTTAACAGTTTTTAGGGTTGGTCACGCAAGGGTTGGTCACACAAGTGCCCCGGGAGAGGACTGTAATTTTCCTGAGTACCATGAGATACTGTACTCCAGACTCCAGCTCACACTAGATTACTCTGCCAGTGCCACCCTCGTCTGTGATATACTGTCGTTTTTCAGTATGTATTGTCTTATACTACTCCTTAGAAATTATCCCAGGAAAATGGTAATGCAAACTAAGACGAGATCTGAAATCGGCTGAATCGAAACAAGATCGCAATTCTCAAATAGCTGAAAATAAAGTTTTTGTCTATAGAATGCGGTTTGGCTAGCTAGATCCTGCCATTATTAAAATGTAATTTTTTGGATAGTCCTAACTATGCTAAACTATGAAAACATTTTGATGTTTTGTAAAATGCCAACTCCGTAAGTATTATTGAAATTTGTCAATATAGGACTACAGTGCCAAAATAAACTGGAAGTGGGACACGATCGCGTTCGAGAATTTTAGCTATCTCCGGAGATTTATTTGACGCCCTCTCACTTTTCTTGAACGGTAAATGTTTGTCCTGAAGACAAATATTTGGCACCACGACTTGTGCATGAAATTTTCAAGCTCATATTTCAAAAACTCGATTATTACCTAATATAATATAACCTAATATAATATAACTTGTCAAAATTCAAATATTCATCAAAAATGTGCGTTTCACTTCTCATTTCTGTTATAGGATTAGGTTTCAACGTATTCAGGAGTAGGTAAGTTCTAGTGCCAGATTATTTTTGAGGGGTTTTTCATAATTTTTCTGCAGAACCCCAGCCGAGCTTAACTACGTCATAAAAGGAGTAATAAAAGAGACTACAGGATCTGCAATTTGATCCACCGTCTGGGTTTCTGTTGTCGAATATATTCGTATGTGATCTCAATTAGGACTAATTAGCCACAATCCCTTAGTGCCCACCTGTTCAATCCTAAGGATCCCTATTGGCAACTTTCTATGATCTGGCGGAAGGAGATTTTAAGAATTACCAAATTGTTTCAAGACTCTGTGAATACATTTTTTACCAGACCACATTTTTCCAAGAATAAGTTTGTTAGATTTGGATTGAAAGTTCCGCCTAGTAAACAACTCAGTATACCCCATACGGCGTTCATGGAGGCTGTAAATTGAGTACATTGTGCAGTGGTGAGTGGTACAATTTAAGCTACAGATGTTTCGAAGTAAAAAAAAGCTACCTCTGAGGTTTCAAAGTTTTAAAAATTTATCTTTAATTTTGTGATTTTTCTTCAGCACACAAATGTATAAATTAATTCGGTTCGGTTTTGCAGTCAGAGTATTGCTAATTTTCTATGATGGTCAATTAATGGTGTCATTAATAATAAAGTTAAGACCAAGTTAATAAATATTCACTGCCTCAATCTGCTGCTCACGGTATCCGCCATTCGTTTAAAATGCAATAATGGCTCCAAATAACTCTACAGTTTTATTCTCAGGAGCGATAAAAAACAGTATCGATAAATCTCATATCACCGTGTCACAGTTGTGAAAAATTAAGATCAGGACAAAGCACATGAAATGCTGAAATCCTGGCTCCGAACTGTGTCTGAGAATGTCTGCTCTGGTTCAATTGAAGTCATTCCAGACCTGGATAAAAAACCCCACTGCCACTCATTCATTGTTTTTAATCGTTTCATATTATACTTTAAGTTTAACAGTTTGTAGTGCGAAAATATTATTACAATTTACAATCTTATAGGTTGTTGGTATCAAAAACAAAATGTACGAGCAGTAAACAAATTTTTTGACGATTTCAAAACTCGAATTCGATCAGGTATCTTCATTTTGCGTATTTATTTTGGAATTATGATCAATGTTTATAAGGCAGACCTAATTGAATACCTCACCACCTCAACACATACTTAAGATCTGTCATATAAAAATATGCAGATAAAAAATGTTTATTCCTTTTATTCCTTACTTTACTTTACATAAGTAAAACCACTACTATAAAATAAACGGATGCAGAAGCGCGAAAAGGGTCGCTGACAGCAGACTAACAACTGACGAGTGATTTATCTGTGCAATTTAACGTTAATGATAGTGAAAAAATGTTCGGTGTCAGCAACCATGCTATTTCATAAGACTCTGTGGGATAGTTAAGTGATCGCCGTAAAATAATAGACGATATGATTGTAATGTAATGGTACTAATATAATTCATGATCTAATTGTACCATGTGGATATATGCCGACTGAGATTTTTAATTAGAAGTTGTCAATTTTATTAGGGTAGCCTGCATGATTTTGAATTTAAGTAAACAAAATAAAACTAGATGTCTTTGAAATGGGTTAAAATTCAAAATGATAAACCATGATCAAATGAAATGCTGAGCGTGACAGGCGTCTGCTCGGAGCCTTTGGCACGTCATTAAAAACAATCAAAGTCAAATCATTGACCATAAAGTGACCGGGGAGTGTCCTTTAAAAACTGTTCGTTATGTGACGATGTGTCACATGGTTTTCACGTGCTCTCTCTGAGAAACCAGCTCTGGTTAAGGAGGAGTCTCTGTTGCACGGACTTTCCTCAACTGTAGGTTTATCTTCCATACACCGCACCTGGGGATCATTGGTTCAGTCAGCATGTTGACTGTTGAAATAGTGTTGAACTTGAAATTATGTTAAATTTCGCTGATCATAATCACAGTGCTGGCAAGCACGACCGGTGCATTTATTGTGGGTATACTATGTACCCCCTTTACTATTATACCCCCTTTACTATTATACCCCCTTTACTATTATACCCCCTTTGGTACACGTTACAAGCCTCTTTCGTGCACGCGAAGCGTGCACTCCGGCCGAAGGCCGCCGCCTCCGGCAGGAGTTTTTCAGGCATTAAGACTCATCGGAAGTCGTTCAGCAGATTTATTTTTAGTTCAAAACATTCTAATTTGATGTCAAAGATGACAGGAATAAAAAATAGTTATGTTGAGATTTTTAAGAAATTTGCATAAAATACTCGCCAGCACTGTTATACGAAATTTGGTAAAAAACCCAAAATCGCCATATTCAGGTGCCTTAAAAACCATGTTAAAATCGAGTTAGAAATCTGAAATTTTTCAGGGCGTCTAGATGTTGACCAAATTGACTGCAAAAAAAGTTTCAGGTTTCAGGAGCATCGGGAAATGGGTTTCTAGAACCCCTGTTTTACGACAGATTGTCGGGACATATACATACAGATATACATACATATATATTCAGGGATGGACGCTTTGCCAGTCAATTGTAGCCTGTATTTAAGTGTCCATAGATTCAAAAGTATAAAAGATACAGCCATTTCCGACCACAGGTCTTGCAAATAATTATTTACACTTTAGTTTACATTGTATACAAAATTTATTTGACGTCATAAACACCCCTTGATGACGTCATCAAGTTAACCGTTTTTAAAACTTGATTTTTGACAAAGTAATAACTTTTAAAATTAATTTTAACCCATTAAGGAGTAATTTTATTCAAAATCTGAGGAAATTTTCATCTTAGATAATTGTTCAAGCATTCTGAAAATCTACCGGAAAGTTTTTCTAGCTTGCTCCTTCATAAAGATATTTGTCATTGAAGTTTGTGCTTTTTTGAAGAATTATTTTATAAAAACGTCAATTTTGCGATTTAGTATTCTTTGGTGTTGGGCCATGCCTTGGGTTGTGGAGCTCAGTTCTGCTTCCTATAGGTATAAATTGTGCATTAGGCTAGTTTTAAAGTTGAAAATCGAAAAGTTGCACACGTGGGGACACGCCCAAATTGATAGAAAATTGCTAAAATCACTGAAAATTGCTGTTTTCGTCATTTTCTGTCAACTTTAGAGTGCCGTTGTGATTACAGTTCTTCTTGAAATACTTTGAAACTTTGCATGCTTATCAAGCTATATATAAAACAATTACATGCAAAAATTTACGGCGATTCAATATTGGATGCGCATGCAACGTCCGCTCAAAGTTTGCACGTGCGAAAGGTGAGAATTTTGCTCATTCGTGATTTCCAACAAATTCTGCTTTGCCACGACAGTTTAATGTCATTATATATGAATTTAATGTCAACTTGAATGAGTATTAAGTGGTATATTCAGTCAGTGATGGACCGATATGCTTACCTAAACACAAGGAAATGTTTTTAAAGGAAAAATTTCGAAATCGTTGAAACTTCCTCCTTATTATAATGAAGATATCAGTTTATATTTCGACTTTATAAAGTACCCTGACAAATTATAATCAAAAAGAGATGATATTTTACCAAAACCCATAATCATGGGTAGAGTGGACCGCTGCCAGTGTCTCTCTTTCCCAAACAAAAGGAAGTGATATTAATTTGATTGACCGTTCTCAAATGCAAAATGATACCGAGAATGAAATCGGTCGCTCGCTTTTCCCATTCATTTACGGCTTACGAATTGTAATAATTTTCGATTGATTACATGTCAATCAGATGCTGTAAAAATCTCTTTGGGTTGCGTTCGGGTCGATACCTAGTATTTCGGGGTAAGGGTGGTAGTTATCACTTATTGCATTAGCTGAAGTTTATTGAATCTTTATTGCCGAGTACAGCTGCCTTTGGGTAGTTCTTCTTAATCTATTACAATTGTAAATGAATGGGAAAAGCGAGCGACCGATTTCATTCTCGGTATCATTTTGCATTTGAGAACGGTCAATCAAATTAATATCATTTCCTTTTGTTTGGGAAAGAGAGACACTGGCAGCGGTCCACTCTACCCATGATTATGGGTTTTGGTAAAATTTAGTACCTAATCATAAAAATTGAGGCTTCGACAGTGGTTGTCGGTTGAATAATAAGCAGACGAATCCTATCATGTCCTGAACAGAAAATTAAAATTCTTCATGTAGTGCATCCTGGGTTTGGACAGGATATGCCCGTTCAAAATATTTCCATCACGTTACATTACATAATTCTCAATAAATGTAATAGATTTGTAATTAGTTTTAATATCTTGACTTTATATCTTGAATAAGCATTAAAAAAGCGGAGATATTTAGTATTTACCCTCATCGGCGGAGTTCATCGCGACTATCTCAGAGTCCTCGTTAGCTGACTCAGCACCATCATCTAAGTTCATGTTCAGATCTGGAGGTTTATGAGTGAGTTGGATTTAATTATTATTAATGTAAATAATATTATCTGGTTAGGTAAGTCGAAAATATTATGCGGCCTTTTTTAATCTGAAAAATAAAACAAAATTTCATCTTTATATCAAAGCCAATCATACCACTTATAACTGATCAAATTTTATTTTTGAGTCGCATTCGATCGCTGTTTTAGCTTAAATTTTAGCTTTTTTTACTCAAGAATAAGCTAATAGCTCAACAAAATTAAAAGCTCGGATAAAACTATTATCTGATGCAAATGTTAAATCAGTAAGAAAATATATTCACATACCTATAGATTCCGATAGAGACATATGGTCTGATTCCATATTCGTGGATCGGGCTTGGACCAGAGTTAGAGCACATGTTCTGAAAAGGGGAAAATTATTAAATTTTTCTGACGAAACAAAATGATATTGGTACTGGATTCTGAATTATAAATAGGATTGAAATTATCAACTGAAATATATGAGATATTGATTTCTTGTTCATTTTTGTTCAGAAAGAAAATGGCATGACTCATTTTTGGATTAGAATAAGTTTCAATCAAATATAGTATAAAATTCATAATCCGTATTAAAGTCCTAAAGTACTCCTGTTTGAAATGGGTTAAAGTAACAGTAATATAACTCACAGTAGAAGAAAAGCTGCGGCGAATGTCCGAACCATGTTTCTGTTGTTTTGAAACGAACTTGTTGTTGTTAAAGTGAAGGTGGACCGCAAATACTGACAACTTCCCCTGAGAAGGTCCACTTAAAATACCCCCACTGGCACGCGTTACCCATTTACCGCAACACGTCACGCAACGAGATTGGCGCACGTGCTCATTTAAAATATCAACTTTGTCACCCACAATCGCCTATGAGTTAAATAGCTGTCACCGCTGTCACATTTCATCAATATCATATTATATATGAAATATAGAATTGAAATTGCGAAATTCGTGTGCTCATGCTTCATGGGATAACGGGGTATCCAAAGCATCAGGTCTCGCCATGTCAACGCTGCTCTGGCTCTTCAACCTGATTGGTTCATCCAAATTGGCCTCGCAAATCAAATCATCTTTCTCTGTCTGGTTGTGTGGCTCATGGTTGCAAAATAAATGTCAAATTATTTATAATCGAGCGACGCTTTGTCCGTCGCTAGAAGATTGAATCTTAAAGATGTGTAGTTGAGTGTCATGGGTAAAATGGTTAAACTCTGAGCAAATAAATTCTCAGCCGCCACCTCAACTGAGAGAAATACTATCAAGTATTTAGATTTAGCGAAGATTTCGTTTTACAGAAATTTAAACGTTTGACTGAATAACTGCTAGAGTTAAGAAAGCTTAACCGATTATCTCATGTAGCAGAGTATCAGTAAATTGTGCTCATGAAATGTCTCTGAATAAAGCGCCAACTCTCGTCTCTCAAGTCTCATAACAAAAATCTGCAAAATTTGGTGTCATCTCATTGAAGAAAACTTTGTATTATGTACAAGCACGAAATCGCAATATTGGTAAAATTTAAAAGTTTTGTGCAAAATTTTGCTGCAAAATTTTATAGGGACAAACGTCCACAAAAAGTATCTTAAAATCTGATAAATGAAACTTGGGCGGGAAAGACACGTGACCAGCGCTCAACTTAAACGACCCTCTTCTAAGTTTTTTGTAGCTAAGTCATACTCATACTCAAATTGTTATACAAATACATCATTTTATTTCAAAGAAAATTCGCCGAATGACTTTACAATTTACATGCCTTGACAAGTGACCGAGTTTAAACAAAATTAGGGACTCCGAAACACCAGTTGACCAGTAAACTGGTCAAAGCAATTACATCGGGCTCTAAAAACATACCCGAATTTTATAGTCTAGAGGCGGAATTTTGAGGAATTATCTGCCGTTTCAATAAAAACATTACTCTCATTACCAACCATAAAAATCTGCCGCCTTATTAGCCAAAATCTTTTTATCAAGGATATTTCTTGATTTTTCTTGAATCGGCTCGCGGGCTCCGATAAAGCACTTCATTCGGTGCACAAAAATTAGCAGATTTAAACGTTGTCGCCATTTCTCGGTCCAAAAATAAAAATTCCACCGTAAATTCTGTCTGTTATAAATATGGAACTTAAGGTAATGGAATTTTGTCATTAATTGACTTCAGATCACACTATTTGTTACACAGCTTTCAAATATTTTAAACAAACAATATTCACAATACGAAATACTACACATCTATTACCTTTAATTTTATTGAGGATGTTACTCTTACAGAAGGAGTATATTTGATGTAGTTGATCGAGAGTCCTAATCGTCTTCACTCTTCACGTCCGAAAGAAGCGGCTGACGTCTCTTGTGTCTAATACATAATAAAGAGTAGCATATTTAAAAAATAAAAGAAATAGAGATATGTTGTTAGCAAATTATACTTTAAGATGATTCATTAAAGATTTGTTTAGAATTTAAATTTAAATTGTTCGTTAAGGGTTCACTGAAGTAAAATTTGTTTAAAAAATCATTTCTAACCACTATTACTAACCACTATTACTAACATAACTTAGGTTGGAATGCAAAATATGCCCAAATTGCTAGAAACGGTCATGCATACCCAGCATCAATCAGATCTGTACACTGTAGGACCGATCTAGTACCCCCACGACCATTAAAGTGTATTTATTGCATATGGGGTATGCAAGGGACGCTTACCACTACCAGCTCATTGGATTTAGGGACGCGTTCCAATTCATAGCAACAACAATGAAAGTAATCTAATGCCATATCAGTATCACATGGTCTATGTTTAATTAACTACAAGTTTTCATAAAATATTAATTATTCGCATGTCTCGAGCCGATGGATTTGTTATCGATGTTCATTATTCATGGCGATATCATCTATAACCTAATATCCTGGTACGAATCAAATCTAGATATGAACGCGTTAGAGAATAACGGTTTCCTTAACAGTTCCATCTCTGTCATCCACGTGCACCTTTAACATAGTTTATTGCTTGATTGTTCTCCTTGAAATTATGGTGATTTCTGGCGGAGAGGCGCGACATTCCATTCGGCGGCACAGCCGCAGAGATAATAAGATAGCTTATCACAGTACTGAAGGATCAAGTCAGATGAAGTCTGGCTGTTGAGGGTTGCAACTTGCACTATCCAGTTATAACTTATGGAGTAGATACCTGGTTACGGACTCCCTAAGATGTTATAGATAAGATATAAAAGTAAAACAACGCTGCGTGACCTCTGGTTTACCTCTGGTTTAATGATCCATAATTTGGCCAAGTATGAGATTGTAAATAGCTCATTAAGATGCGTAATTGTCCTTACTGGACAGTTTTTAAATTTAATTTAATTCAAAGCAAGGTTTTATAGAGATGTCCGGATCTATCCAAATTCCATAGGGCTATGGCATCTGAATCATTTTCGCGCAATATATCTCCACAGAAATCACATCCAATTGTATAATATGTATAAAATAGTTGTTCAGCTTGCTTGGTTAAAGTTTATGCATTAAATTGAAATGTGTCGACGCGACTGTTGACCAAAATTGGACGGGAAATCGTTTAACTTTAAGAATAAGATCACTTTTGAGGTACCGCATCTTCATGGAAAATTACCGCACAATTCACAATTGTTATCGCCTTGTAAAATGTAGATGACTATCAAACCCATCGGCACAATGTTCCAACGAAAATGGAATTAAAATTAAATTCGTTGTAATAATTGTTCTCTGAAGGACACAAAATAGGCAATTCACATTATAGTCATTATTAGTCATTATTAGTCATTATTAGTCATGGCAAACCCCATTGCCGATTCCTCCTGATCAATACTTTGATTCAAAAAAGAATATCAAAGAACAGGGACCGTTTATTTCTTTGGCTGAACACGATTTCTTATTTATAAATATAATATCGAAAAAAATTCCAAATTTCGAACTCTACAGAATTTCATCACTGTTCATAACATTTTAATTTTAGCAACAATTTGCATTACTCTTAGTCTTCAAGAATTCAAGAAAGCTTCATTACTGTTTTGAACACCTGGTAGTGGTACAACTCTAGATAGGGGTTACAGCCATGACAATTAACTATATAACCTTTTCAATATTTATTACTCCGGTACTACAAGTACAATATTTGCTGTGGGATCGTGTTTAGCTTGTGGCATTGAAATGGTTTTATAATTATTGGCACTGCGCGTGATTTACAGTCCCCCATGTCCTGTCATCGGCACGTGAGAATGTCACGTGACGATGACGTCACGTGAGATTGCTTCGTGGATATTAACCCTGCGTCAAGTGAGATAACTTACATTAAATACTTACTTAACATGGTTACAACATCTCGTGGTTTTGCCCATAAAAGAGAATAATTTAAGATCATGAGACAATTTATCAGACAACCATGGTTGATTGTGCAGAGAACTCAATGCTCTGCAGAATAACCTCCTTCAGCTAAGCAAAGGTAATGTTTATCCGGTTTATAGTTCATGGTATTCAACATTTCTATTCGACGAGCTCTTATTTTCTAGCTTTTCTATCAATATTATCATTGAAATGAAAGTACTTTCTTTAAGAAATGTTTCATTCTTTGGTATAATGCACTTACAGGTCAGCGTTTAAAAAATATCCCATACTAACCTTAGTCAAACCGTATTCTAAGTTCTAACCAAGACACAACCTATAGTGCTCACACAGCCTCAGCGAAACCAATCCATGCTATCAACTCAATTTTGGACAAGAAATAAATTACTCGGTTGTTTTTTAACTTCGATTAATTATGGCACAAATAAATTAAAAGTACTGGGAGGAAAGAAAATATCGATAAACTAAACTCAAAGCTTATAAGAAGTCAAATAAGTTATCGAATCACCGTTATATCATTCAAATAATTAACTAAGATATTCACAATTCCGCTCTGAAAGAAAACACCTCACTGTTTGGCACTACTGTTTCTCGGTCCCCTTTCTCCTGCCCGTAATCTCTTCCTCGCTCCTCAATGTCCATATGAACAGTCTCCTCAATATCTTCCCCTTTAGATGCACAACTAGAACAACTTTTCTCGCCCTTTTCTTTCTTCAATTTCTCGCTATCCTCTTTAAACTGTTTTTCATAATTCTCCTTCATCTCCTCGCTGCAGTTCAGTTTACACTGAACACGTTTCCTGGAGTTTGGACTTGTACACTTCTCCACACATTTCTGAAACTCACGCTTAGGATCTATCTCACTTGCAACACTGTTGAACAACACTAACGCTAACACCACACTTAACATTACTAGTTGGGAAAAGGAACGAGACATCTAAAAACACAGATAGAACTAGAGATTATAATTGAGAGTGTCACAGCAAGATAAAATAACATACGTGTCACATTACTGTAGGCCAAGACAGATAAACAAAGCAATTATTGTCCTTCTTGGCTGTACAATTGTCTTCTAACTGTGTAAAACGTTGCCATAAATTACATTGTTCGTTTAAATAAGTCCGCAGTTTCGTGTATATTGCACTGTTTCTCCTCATAACAGGGTCCGAACAGTATCACCAATTAGGGTTTTGACATCTATTCACTGTCAAATAGTAACATCGGCACTAGAACTAACCACTTCATCTTGAAGTAATGATCACTTTAATCACCACGGTTACTTTGGTATGTAACCAGGGGTTACCACGTGAGTTCACTTGACCAAACTACTGAGAATCTGAGTGAGGATGACAGGGGAGAAAGGTTTGGGAGAGCTGGTGGAAGTGACACTGTCTGGGGGTGAAGTGGTGGTGGTGTTCGGGCGTCTCCTGTCACTTTGTGACATCCCACGCTGTGACACCGTGCTCTGTGACATTAGCGTTGCTATTTGCTCTAAGTAGCGTTGACTCAGCTGATCTGTCACTGATCGGGACTGGCGAGGTCCGAATATGTTCAGCAGCATTTCTATAGATTTTATTGCATCTGAAAGAGCAGATAGTTAAGTTTAATAAGTTGAAGTAAGTGTGAAAGAAATTGCGATGATTGTATAGAATATAATGAAAGAAAGAAAAACCTGTGACGTTGCTATATATATATGGTTGCTGTCGTGAATAAACCACAGGTGATTACAATGGTCAGTAACCATTGGTAACCATTAGTAACCATTGCTAAGATCGGGAAACTCACCGTTATTATTAGCGAAAAGGACGTGTTCCAATACGGAGTTGGTTTGTTCAGGGAACAGCTCTCTTAACAGGACGAGCGAGTAAAGATAGGTTGGGTTCCTCTGCTTGGGTTGAATTGTCGCGTCTGGGAAAGAGACAGCTGTTAAATGTTAATAACCTAATAGATAAGGAAGTTATAGCTGTCAGAATGCCACCTAATTTGTGAGGAATCCGTAAAGTTCATGACTACTTTGGTGCTAACCCTCTAATCTCAAGGGTGATGATTAAAGAAGATGAACCTCCAAATCACATGAATTCTGCTAATTTTACTACGCCGAATAATAATTCAACAATAAGGTATTCTAAATTTAAGATAAACTTACCAAATAAACCGACGAGGTTCTGGTTCTGGTTGTCCACCCCAGCTTCTTCTTGTCTCTTGAGAGCTACCTGAGCTGCCATAACTCTCCTTCTCTCGGAGATTAGAGAACACTTACCGCACTGACAGTTCAGCCACTTACACCACCTCTTGTGTCCTGTGAAAATACTGTCGTTACAGATCATTGCTAATGCTATAATTAGTGACTGGCTAATTTAGAGGCAACAGCACGCTATGATTACTTTATCCATCATGGTTACTGTGGTTATTATGGTTGTGGTTATTGTGTTTGTGGTTATTGTGGTTACTATGGTTAGTGGTTACTGTGGCTACTAAGGTTAGTGGTTACGTTGGTTACTTTGGTTTGTGGTCACTGTGGTCACTGTGGTTATTGTGGTTAATGTGATTATTGGTTACAGCTGTGGTCACTATGGTTAGTGATTACTGTGGTTTCTATGGTTATTGGTTACTGTGATTAAAATGGTTTGTGGTTACTATGGTTACTATGGTGATAGTATTAACTATGGTAAGTTGGTGGTTACTATGGCTATGGTTACTACCTTTAAGAGGGTTGAAAAGACCATGGTTTCTGCACCTTGCACACGTTGGGGCTCGAGAGGTTGGAGACATTGCTGAAACATTGAAACACTTGTTAGACTAAATAAAATAGATAAATAACTCCTTATCACACTACCCTGTATCAATACTGTTAGCTACCCTGAGCAAATGAGATGTGCAGTTTAGACGGCCTGGCAGCAACAAGATACGTTCACAAAAGCTAGACAGTCATTGGCGACAAGGCATTATCTATGCATTAAAGCTAGACAGTCATCGGCGACTAGGCATTATCTATGCATTAATGTTTTGCAACCCTATTCAACCCTATAAATGCTATTGTAGAAAAATATACTCATAATAAAAATTTCAAATCTAATTAACCAATTCATTAATAATTAAAAAACCAAATCTTATAATAAACCAACAAAACTAATTCAACTAGCACACGTGCGATCATACGCACGAAACATTTGCTGCACTTGTTCAATAAGCAGTCATATATTCAGACATATCCGGACTTGTCGGGAGCTGTCAGGTGTGTTTTCTCTCTGACAAGTTTTCAGAAAATTAATCGAACTTGAAGAGTTGATAGTGAAGGTGCGTGCCGGCACGTGTTGGTTACCATGGTAACCATGCTCAATTACTAACTCACTTCCATGGTATGATGATATGAAAATATGTTTCATGACAAAAAAGTTCGGCTGAATCGGAAAATGATTGAAGAGAGAAATGAGCGCTGAAAGTCGGCTGGGTAAGTTCAGTTCCATGAATATTTTCCTGGTGTCAAAAATAAAATCAAACAGCAGGAAAATGATATCTAAGAACCGCCGGAAAAGGATAGCAAGGAAGGAAACAGCCATGGCATTTCTTTTAGCCAGCCATTTGAAGAGCATTGAAAGATTTTAAAGCGCCCTGTGACAAAATTATAACCCATGCAAACAAATACCCGTATCATTGGAAGGACCAGACACCCAGTCATCCAGCATGCAGAAAGTGCGACAGAGGGGATTAAAGATAACTTTTTGAGGGCGGAATAAATATCATCGCCGTGTGATACATTATCACCTCTCACACCTTCGCTCACCTACTTAATTGACACTTAATCTAACATCTGCACCAGATTGAAATCGGAGACTGCCCTCTCAAAGAGTTGGTCAATTTGTGTCATTACAGTGAGCCAGGCCTAATTGGGGGTCCGCTGCAGTAAACCGACTCAGAAACCCTACGATCTCGGATCATGTGACGAGAAGTTCTGCCACGTGCCATTTTTATACACTCTACAGTTCAACATCAAATTCAATATACCGCCTAGAATGATAAATCGTAATTTAGATACAACTTATTTATTTTATCCTGTTCGGTTGTAAGTTTATATCACTGGTTTCGAAAAAGAACAAAACCAAAAACTAAACAACAGGTTATTTAAACTTTTAAACGAAACAAGAGGTTGGCAACCTAAACTAATACCGGTTTTGTACTTAAACTGCCTGCAAATTTGTAACGTTTGTAATGTATTTTTGTTCGCCAATTTTCTAAAAATTCTCAATACGGACTACAAAAACCTATTTTTATCAAACAAATATTTCGCATATTTGGTCTTCTCGTGAGCAAATGAGCGAGATCAAGAAAGAGTATTGGTGATACTAGTTCAATCATTAGGCTAGTAAGAGAACTAACTTGACTAAAAAGTAAACGTTGCAGAAAGATTTGGAATCAAATATAAAGTTAGATTAAAAAACAATGTCTTGCTACATCTTATAAAAGAAGCGGTTTAATCGACCATGACAAAGCAAAAAAGTAATGAAATAAAAACACTATAATCAGTTGATGGATTCATCATGTGGCTCACAATAAAAAACCGCAATCTAAATCAGAAAACAACACAGTTATAATTGAAATTAGTTTGTTCACCTGTAGGTGTGGTGGTGCAGCTATCTGTGACCAATTAGTGAGCATGTCGTGGGTCACGTGACCAATTATCCTGATGGGCATTATCTCCCGATATCATCTTGTATCTTGACAACTGAGTTTGGTGACTGCACGTTAATGTATGCATTGCATACCACACGTACCACAAACCAGTGGTGAAATGGTTTAGGTTTGTAAATATTCGCAAGCTGCGTCGATTCTTTACATGTCAGACAGCCATGTTGGTCTCGTCACCTGACATATTGTCTTTATCCTGAAATTCAGATATGTTAGTCACATCCCCCACTTTATCTTGAGCCTGTAGTTTATAGCTTTGACCCGGGTTGAGGAAAGATCAGAGACTAAAGGAGGTCTATAAGTCCGCAGCGGAAACTGAAAAAGTAAAACAGTTTCTGAAGAAACTTACTTACGACCTATAATTGTGTAGTTCGTGTTGTATCCATCTATGACTCTATGATATCTGACGGAATCTGACCTCGGTCTCGCGATTGAGTTCAATCCATGATAATAACCACGTTTGATTTCGATATTATAAGATCACGTTGAGTGGCTTGCGAACCGAAGCTCTTTTTAAGTTCATAGCTCTGCGCATGAATTCTGCGCATGAATTCTGCAGTCTTTGTAGTTATAATCAAATTCAAATGGCTCAAACTTTTTTAGGTGCGCTGCTTATATAGTCACATGGTCCTTGGACCTTGTCGTTAATCATTATGGTTCCTTAAATCTTTAGGGTTGTGGAATTGGAACTGGATTTCATGCTTTCGATGGTTGACAGATGAATGATACACTATAGCAATAGACTGAGGCAGAAAGTCAAAAACGGAGGATGGTGTTGAGTGTTGGTTACTATTAGTATTATATAATGCACCCTCTTCGATGAGATGATGGGTCCGACAGCATCTGAGTCTGACAACTTATATTATATCACACTGCTAGGCTACAACTATGGGTGCGTACGAATTTACGATTCTGTAGGCAATTGATAGATCTGGGTGATCCTGGGGTTTAATGTTTGTGGTACTTTTTGTCACGGTCACAATTCACATGTCACTCGTTGTCACACGTTGCGACTTTGCTTATTTTTTGGGGCCCAGTGGAAGGGGGCACGTTATGCGGCGCGCATGTTATTGTTAATGTTTTACCAGACGACGTTAGGCTGTTACACAGCACAGCGATCCTCGGTATTATGCTATTTTATATTTATATTAAAATTTAATATATATTTATATTAATTGTATATAAAACTTGTGCCGGTGCAGTGTAGTACTAGTATGGTGAATACAGTCCCTCGACCCTATTGTTATAGTTATGCGTTCAATGCGGTTCAGGTTGTAGGTTTCTGGCCCCACAGCGTGGGCCGGCAAGATTGTGTCAACCGGTGCCTGCAAAGCTGCAAAATTCAAGTGGTTTTGTGTTTTACCTAAATATATCGGCCCAGGCCAGACGATCGAAATTAAATCATACTCGACATTACATTTACCTCATGTAAGGTGAGCCATAAAATTTGTGAAAGATTTTAACTCCCATACCAGAGCCTCCCAATTTCTACTATTGAATCTTGAAGTTGACACTTGACAGTTGACGAATCCGTAATCAAGTACAAAACTACAAATCAAGCCTTGGTTGTCGTGAACTGTTCGGCGCCTGAAGTTGAATTTCACCGTTGAAATTTTACCTTGACTTCTTCAACGTGACATTTGTAATTCTCAGGCTTGAATTTCGGGTTTAGTAATTGTCTGGTATGTGGTATGAAGTGATGGTATTGGTTAGAGTTGGGTGCATAGCTGGGAAAGTCAGAGAGTGAATTTAAGCTACGTAGTGGTTATAATTATAGTACTTGTAGTTATGTAGGGCGTGGGTGAATATTTAAAATTGGATCACAGTATCTATAATATAAAAATTCCTAATTCCACATTGCTCAAACAAATTTGATTTCAAGTGGGTCGCGGCTGTAAAAATAAAATCATTAAAAAACTACGACTCTCAGCTGCTTGGCCCCGCTAAAAGGTTGCAATACCAAATACTATAATATTAGACCTACAAAGAGTGAAGTAGAAATCAAACCACTGGAACTTTTACTTTACCTAGCTTGCTAGTCTATTGCTCGCTCCTCCCAGTCTCAATGCGAGAATGGAGAAGCTCGAAAAGAGCGCCGCGCATTGCACGCCAGTGACCAGACCCATGGGAGTGGGACTGGTCACTGGAGTGCCAGGTAAACTTTTACTATACATTTTTGTTTCTGTTATGCTTTCAATAGTGTTCATAACAAGTAATTACTCTATTTAAAAGAAGCTGTAATTCGATCTTAATTCATTCAGTCCATAAACAATACTAATTCATTCATTCTATATAAACATTCCATTCATCATACTCCTACTATAAATCAGTTTCTAAGATTCAAGCCTTAAAGTTAACATTGCAATTATACAATCACTTAATAATATAATTGTGAGCAATAAATGTGGATCACACGGTTGATATACAATTTGTGCTGCTGAATCCAGAGCAAGTTGTCTTATCGACTGATATGCTTACTAAAATTAACATCCTAGATGGTATTGGTTTCAATAGAATGCGTTTAACTGTAGCTGTAATACCATTAGAAAAATGTTGTCTACCATAAATTTAGTCAAAATTTAGACTTAAATTGTTGTAAACCAAATTTATTGAGACAACATTTTTCGGCGACTAATTTGAAAGCAGACCAAAATTTCAGTAGAGCATGTATAACATGAATATTATTGAGCTTACACTGCGCTTATAGTTATACTGCGCTTACATTGCATTGAGCTTACATGGCTTAACCAAAATGTTGGTAACTAAATTTATTGTGAACTAAATTTATTGTGAACTAAATTTATTGTGAACCAAATTTATTTGCCTTAAGGTTCAGATTATTATCAGGGGTTGAAACAATTATTAATATTATTATCATCAATATATCATTAAAAATATTACGAACGTTCATAAGTGGACAGTTATCTCATCAAATTCGTGACTGCCATAAAAAAGAAAGATAAATCTTATCGGAGGGTAAAGGTCATTCGTATCATCTTACATTCCACTTAATCTCTCTCTCCGGACTCCAATTATAGGAAGTACATCGAAGAGAAGTTGAACTTTATCTCGATATACTCTAAGCATAGGTCTCGTGATTTTTGTTATGCATCACGTCCGAGTAGCCAGGTTCCTTGGAAGCGCTGTCCGGCATGAGGGGAGCCAGCCCGTTCTTATCACTTACTGTCTCCAGCTGAATCAGTACACATGGGTACACGAACATTGCTGCGAAGAAATCCTCGATGGGGTTTCCATTGATGCCATAATGGCTGCGAATGTTGGCTCTTGCAACAGTGAGGAGAGTAACAAATCCTAGATAGAACACCCATGCTAAAGCGTATATTCCTTCGAGCTTCAACGATTTGTCGAATTGGTACACAATCTCCGCTATTATGAGAGCGATCCAGGCTACCCAACATACTGCTGCCATAATGGCAGGTCCAAGGGCGCTCTTCTTGTGGGCTTTGAGGACATCGTACAAGGTCATTGGTCTGAAAATTAAGTTTGGTTAGGACTTAGGATTTCATTTAAATTTTTGTAGTCGATCTGTCGATGGTAATTTGTATTCAATAAGGTTATAGTAAGTTCCTTTTTGATATCTGCTAGTAAAACTGACAAGTTGAAAAATATTTAATCTTAAAACTCACGCAATGAACAAGTTCTTGATGAATCCCAACCAAAGTCTGGGTCGTAATGTAGAGAAAGGATCAACTAGAGACACAGCAAAATCGGGACCGTATGGGTTGAGGTCACCGCACTCCATAGCAAGCGCTCTCCATAACGCAACGGTAACGAAACATAGGATGATCGTGTAAGGAAGACCTGCTGCAACACTAGCGGTCTGAGAGTAGGGACTGTTAATCTTTTCAGCTTTATTCGGCAGTATCCAGGAAGCCCAAACCACACGGATTAAAAGTAATGTGAGAAAAAATTCTCTATTCCAAATCACTGCTGAAATGATTTTTTTGACTCTGTTGATAAGACGGCGATCCTATTTGATAAGACGATTTGATGAATTACCTGTAGAGCCTTGAGAGCGTCAGATCCCCCAGCAACAAGCAGAGCAGTAGCAGTTGCACCCTCAACCACTGCCCAGAATACACGCTGTGGGATAGGTGGGTCCTGGTCTCCATTCGCGGACATAATGTCTATAACTAAACTACCTGCAATGGAAGAATTTAGTAAAATAATAATTCATTTTCGCTGTTGAACTTTTCAAGGACCATAGTTCTTTTTCATTTTTTAGATTTAAGCTAGAAAGTTGAAGGCCTTTCATAAAACAGGAGATTTAGACTAAGGCTTACTGTTCAAGTTTGAAGGACATTCGATTTCGAAACAACAAATCTTTAGGACAGTATGCACAATTTACTCCTCTTGGCCTTATCAGACCAGAAATCCTATGCTATAGTTAAAAAGTAAACGTACCTGAATCAGAACTAGTTACAAAGTAAAGAATGATGCCAGCGAGAGAAATTACGCAGAGGAAAGGTCCCATGTCACCGTAGGTGGACACCGTTGCAAACCACATCTCCTCACTTGCCATACACGACAGCCTAGCGTGACTCCTGTTCGAATGTTTTGATTGTCAGAGCTAACTATAACTCAGATCATAATGACAATGAAAGGGTACTTGGGAATGTACCAGTCAATTTTCCCATTCATGCATAAATTTAACAATAAGTTGAATTTGACTAAAATTGTTATTGAACTTACTTGTCGTCTCTTGATTTGTACTTTCCGAGCCATCTCTCGTTATCGTTAACGTAACCCACCACTTCAATGACTGTAGCCGAACTTGTTTCATGAGAATCTATGAATGTCTTCATCAATTTCCACTCACAATCTCCACACGCTATAGACGCATCTTCTGTTCCTTTACATAACTTCAAATTACTTTTTGATAACTGTACTCCGTTTAAGTTCATGTCCCACCCAGCATCTGTAAACTGAAAGAGTCGTACATTTAACACCTGATGCTCTGACCGACAAACACATGCTTTAATAAACACGTGTTAATGTAAGTTAATTCTTGTATAGTCAACAGTAAAACCAGATGCTGTAATCGTTATGTGACGAATGTTCCCTCATGAAATATGCACCTTTCGTCCAGGTGTATTGAGTAGTATTAACCGATAACTTACATTAGCACTATTCCACGCCAAAACAGTGCTATTAAATTTAGGGCAGCAAAGTCCCTCTGCTGCTGCTAGCCGCTCTGTCTTGATGGCTGCTCCCCCGAATATGGTCAGCCACATGAAGGTGTAAATCATGGGAGCGGTCAGTGTTCCTGTGCAGCAGTATTGTTAGGGATATTGTTATTATTCTTACCGCTCTACCACTTTCTCCCAGGAAGTAGGAAATCGGTGATCAACCGCTTACTTACTAGGGTCGATCAAGTTCCATGAATTCATCATAATTTTGTTGAATATCATATTCAAAATATGCGAATGCCATTTAATTTAAGTACCTGATCAGGGCACTCATTAAGTAAGATAAAGGCCGACGTACCGTTGATGAATTGTCTGATCGTCCTGCCCCGAGATATTTTAGCAATGAACATTCCAACGAATGGTGACCATGAGATCCACCATCCCCAGTAGAAGATAGTCCAACCGTCCATCCATCCTTCAGGTCCATCACCCTCTCCGTCAGCATACACTCTACCTGCCAATATTCCATGTTAAAATTTTGTCGTGTTTATGTGCTATTTTCTTAGAACTCCTTTTTCGCTCCTCTAAATACTTTTTATAGTAAAACAGCAAATCTTACTCTGTGTTTCAGTTCGGCTACAAAATATGTCGACAATGTTCTCAAACCAACTAAGACTGTACCTCTATCAGCAGCACCAAACGATTTGGTGCTCAGTTCAAATGCATCACAGTGGAAGCCTAGCTGCATTATCCATTGAATGTAGAATCCAATACTTTGACAATACAAGTTTAGTATGTACCTGGGAGAATTATTCGTATAAAAACATTGATGTTTACATTAAAATTATTCGTTAAACCTGTCGTCCAAACGTCATGATGATATAAAATGTTTTAATTCAAAATGGTGACTGTAAATATCAATCATAAATATGAAATGAACCTAATTTCGCATACCATGTATCCTCAAGGAAGAGCACCAACAACATGATGACCATGCCAATACCAAAGCAGATCTCCGAGAGTCGTCTGATACCCACTCCTACTCCAGTAATGACGGACGTGGTTGCCACGAGAGTGATCGCCCAAATGATGATGACCTGGTTTTGAGTGTTCACCTCAATGTCCTCATTCAGGAAGTTCAATCCTAGGATATAACAGTGTTGGTTATTCGTATTTTTTTGCTATCTTTTCAAATTAGATTATCATTTTAGCTCTTAAAGTGAGTTGATTGAAAACATCTTACTGCCAGCAATTTTAAATATAATTTAAATTATTCGTTGAGAAAGAATACTGACCTTTGTTGACCTGCATAGTGCCGAGCCCCAAAGATGTGCACACTCCGAAAAGGGTGGTCAGGATAGAGAAAATATCAATAATATCACCCATCCACCCGTAAATTCTATCACCAATCAGTGGGTAAAAACACGACTTCATCGTCATCGGCATTCCCTTTCTGAAAGTCAGGAATCCTAGAATAATTCCAATCATGACATACACGATCCAGCCGTGGATACCCCAATGGAAGAATGTGACATTCATGGCCCACTGCGCCACCTCGTTGTCCGGCATGTATTTATCGCTGGTGTAACGGTTGGGTCCGATATAATGCCAAAGAGGTTCTGCTACTCCAAAGAAGAAGAGACCGACACCAACTCCGCAAGCAAACAACATAGCAAACCACGTGCCGTCGTTGTACTCTGGTTTCTCGTCGTCTTGTCCTGAATAGACAGTTGTTAAAGGTATTTAAATTATTGCTTACTGTGTTGATGACAGAATATATTGGGTCACAGCATTCAATGCCACAAACAATATGTAATATAGAATTGAGCTTACCTAGCTTAAGTTGCCCATACTTGCTGAAGTATATGGCAATGATAACCACCGCCCAAACATCCTGAGAGCCAACATAGAGCCAAGTAAAGGTACGGGTGATCCAGGTCTTAGCTGATCCGAACGAATCCAGGGCATCTGAGGAGATATTTGATTTTTTAATAATAATTTATTAATAGATCTCTGTTTATTTCGAATCAGCAGTTTCTATTGAAAGTAGAACCCGTCACCAAACTTTCGTGAAAGTTTCGGAACGGAACCTTTCACAAATGAAAAACGCTCAGTCAAATAAAACCCCTTGGGATCCCCTCAATTCCATAATTGCAAAATGTCTCGCAAAATTCATACTAGTTAATTAAATTCCGAAATTGAAATACTTACGATCTCGTTCTAAGATACACCACAGAATAAAAGCGATGATAACAAGAATGCTAGAAATGGTAACAATAGGATTTAACTTCAGTTTAATAGGTCCGCATTCAGCCTTAAACCACACACTCTTATCCTTGATTTTAGCTCCTTTCCATGTTGGTCGGGGTGGTGGGTCCACTGACGGCTCCGTTATCTCATACGGAGGAGCCTCTTTCCCTGCCATCGCACTAGAATCAGCTGGCGGAATGGAGGTGTTATCAAACTTTGTTGGATGTGGTTTTACTTGCATTAAATGGCGCTTTTCTGAACAAACGAATGCGAATACAAAAATTGAAATAGGAGTATGCGTGTGATGCGTATAACTATAAGATCGGTGAGGCGTAGCACCGCCGGTGTGATTGGACCAATTATTGATTGGTTGTATCGTAAATTTCGCATGGAGGGCTTTTTCAGCCAATAATGTTTTCGCATGCAAAACGTTGTAAGGATAAATTCAGTCAGGAGAATTCAACATGTAATCCTGTATCAGTATCATATCAACGATCAAGTCCGGTCAAATCAAAAACATTTGATTACTCATTACTTGTATAATAGTCATGCGTTACATTAGCTGACGATGTATTGGGGTTGTGAGCAAAGTTGGTTCGTGCGCACTTTACGCACTTTTAAAACACAACGCAACTTACGCACGAAACAACTTAAAGTCACGCACTTTCAGTACCTTTAGGTACGTTTTACCAAACAAACTTATACAGTACACTGCACATATAGGTACTATTGGCCAGAACAACACTAGCTACTACTACTACTACTACTACTACTACTACTACTACTAATAACAAGCATTTAATCCAGGAACTGCTATGAAAGCTCTGAACTGTTTTTTGTAAAAATGGAACTATATAGTTGTGGGTTTATATCTTGTTCTAGACAACAAACTACAAAATACAATAAACAAACGAGAATTTAGCACTGATGAGTGAACGAAAGACGTGATGTGAAGCCCAGATTTCCGGGTCTTTATTTGATACCCATTAGCGGTAACGGCACTGCATTGTTTATTTAAGGTGGGATTTTCGAACATGAGCCAATGTTTGTACAAGAACATATGTTTGCACAAGAAAGAATATTTGTCTGAGATCTTAATCGTGCACGTTAACGATCGCTAACGATATCTACTAATGCTATGGCTGCTAACGATAACCGGGTAGTTAGCTGAAACCTAAGAGTAAGACTGGTAAAGCCACTGTATTAACCATCAATCTGAAAAATTAAGAATAAAATCCAATTTGTAGTTGTTGATAGGTCATATGCGGTTCGGTTAAGGCACACAAAGGCTCTGAAATTATAATATGAATTACAATATAAAATATACATTATACAAACGGCTCCGAAATTATATTCTAAATCTCAAGATACAAAAAAATGAAAGGTAAACATTTCACCCAGGCCTCTTTAACCAGGGTTAAGTCTTCTAATTTATAGGGTTAAACCTACAGCTACCTCGCACCAGATCACCCGTCCATACATCAGTTCAGGTATTGTGGCACGTTTATCTCACCTTTGTTACCAGCCTTAATCCTGTTTGCAAATGATCCAGAATGGGACATTCCTTATTCCATCGGATCTATTCGTAGCCTTGATATGATTAGCTATATTATATAGTTCACGTTTAAGACGTGAAGCTGCAAAAGCTCACCTTGCACTTGCACTGTGCTTTCAGTTTGTACGTGGCTGATTTAACTCCCACCACCATTTTTAAACCATCTAACTGCTAAATGAAACTTGCTTTATGAAAATAAAATGTCAGAAAGATTTAAAATCAAAGGACCACATCACATATGGGAACATTGGAAGGTTTAAGCATTGACTCTACGAGACTTGCGTGTTGAAGACAAGCTAAGTGTACGGATATAAGCTGTTTGCTTGACAGTTGACAACACTGTAGTGGCAAAACAGTAGTGTCCTAAAGTTAACCTATATCTCCTTCATTTTCTATTTAAAAAGTCAGATTTAACATCTTGTTGTTACTTGTTAACTGCTTCAAGATTTAGAGTAAAAGAAGTTACTCTCCAGAGGATTGTTTAAAATATGTCCCTGCAAGAAAACACGCCACACACCCTTACGGCTTACATGGACAGGATCAGTAGAACTAGATACGTACTGGTGCACTTCGATTTTCTATTTTAAGATCGAGCAAAAAAATGTTCCTGTTGAATAACAATTTGGTCTAAAATTGTATTGTATTAAGCTCTGATATACTTGCACACGAATAAGTTAACAAAATGTTTTGTTATTTTGTTAAGCATGGATTAAACAAACAACTATTTAGGAAACTTAAGGCCCTGTTTTGGTGTATGCCCCCTTATAGGGCCTGTTCATATAAGAAATGTTTCACAGGTTTATTAATATTAATAAAACCAGTAATCGACCGGGATTCCCGGCGCCGTGAAATCCCGGCGCCGGGGGAGCTATTTCTTCCCGGCCCCGGCCGATTTTCAATTTTTGCCGGGAATTTGGCCGGGAATTTTTGATCGAAATCGGCCTAAAACTTTCATATAAATCTTAAAATGGGTTTTCAATTTTGAAAGGATGATGTCCAGAGTGCCAACTTTTATTTACTATTTCAGCTGAACAAAATTATTTTACCAAAATATATATGAAATCTAATTACCTTCTAAACTGTTCAATTGATACGAACATTATATTGCCATGTTAAAATAAGTTCAGATCCTAAGTCCTGAAAAGTTCTAACTTGGCCGTGGATTTATTAAATTCACGGCCCCGGCCCCGGCCAAATTCCAGAACGGCCAATTCCCGGCCCCGGCAAAATTTGGACATTCCCGGCCCCGGCCCCGGCCCCGGCCAAATCCTACCCCCGGTCGTTTACTGAATAAAACTAAAAGCAACATGATCTTGCGATGTTGCAGAATTGTAAGAACCCCGTTTCATTTCAATTTTACCGAAGAAGAAAAAGTTATTCATTCGGAATTTACACTAGCACCGAACTTAAACTAACACAATGAACATTGTTTGATGAGAGTCCTGTCTGGGTCTCTTACAGTAGTCAGTATATGGTACGTTATCATTTAATTTGAGATTCAATCAGCCTCAACTCTATATATTATATATATATACTCGACTCTATCGTTCTGAAGCAGCTCCCCAATGGCCAATATATGGTATAATAAAGTCTTGGAAGGGGAAGGTATGTCATTTCATCATCTCTATTTTTGGAACATTTTAAAGCAGGTTTATCTTGCTTTTTCGGTGGGAAAACGTAAAGATGGACATATCAAGCTTGTTTAATGTACAAAATACAAGTAATCAGGGTTGATTAAGAAATACAAGCTGTGCATGTCGCGTCTAACATTTCAAACCATAACAATCAATAAAATGTGTACAAATAATGTCAAGGGGACATTAGTGGATGAACCGTGTAATAATCGGCCTGTCAAATTTAGAAGTTTTAATATCTGACACAGTTAGTGGACTAAATTTGGCATGTGTCACGAACCTGGGACCTGGCAGGCTCAAAGATCTCGAATAATGACGGGAACTCTAAATTAATATCTCGGAGAGCACATGAATATTTGCAAGGATCTTACGTTTCGCTATCCCTTAAATACAATATCGGTGTAAAAGCAAATTGTGAAATAACGATACAGTAATTGGCCTACATTACCAGCCACAAACAACAATTAACCACAAGCCTGTCTGAGTGCTGGACATTATAATAATGTTAGATATATCTAATGACAAAGCCATGCTCCCGCATGCATCACTTTAAGTTACATGTCACGTTACTAAAATGGCTCCACTTTTCATCGCCTTATATTGGAATCCGGCTCGGAACTCAGGCCCGAGTACACCCGCGAGTGCAACCACCAATTTGCGGCTTTTGTTAAACCTTGCTAGGAGGGCATGGTGGTTTATTGTGACACGTAATAAAGGGGATAAGGAGAGATACCTTGCTCTTGTGATGTAATTTATACAGCAATCTTTACAGTACAGCACTGTGCAAGTTTAACATCAATAGTCAACACCCTAAGTAAATTTTGCTAGTTGCAATTTTAAAATCTAAATTTATATGGGCATTGGACAGGTAATTCAATATTCACTAGTCCATATTTTTTGTTAAAATTCTAGTTAGCCAACTAGGTCAGCAAAGAGTATTTATAGCAGAATAAAGTATAAACGCGGCTCACTTCACTTACACTTACAGAAGCGGATCTTACTATGGATTCACGGCTTTTTTGCCCTCTAATTTTTATCTCATAATGTTTTAACCGTGACAATTAAAACCTTTAGTAGAATCCTAGAGTTCCTGATATGCAAACCCTTAACTTGAAACCCTATTTCAAACTGCACCAGGGGTACAATTTTGAACTTTGAAGGTTAAGAAATTTTCATTATGCTTTTTGTTATTACATTTTCAGCTTAAAACTATACAAAAATTGAATTCAAAACTAGATTCAATACAAAATTAGATTCAATACAACATAATGACGAAAAAATTAAATATAACATCAGATGTCTTGGGTTAAACTAAAGGGACCAGTAGCTCTATTCATATAACAAGGGGTCTTTCACATATCAAGTAATCATACGAGGGGGGGTGGGTTTCCAAATGATTACGCTAGTGTAATTTTGACACAATAGCTATGTGTAAAACTGATTACGGAGGGGGGTTAAAAATTGTTCAAAAAGTGATTACGTAATATGTGAACGACCCCTAAACTTAAAGATCACATTGGGCTGAAATGGCGGAATAGGCAAAATGTCTCGTTGCACATGGTGACATGGTATCCGACTAAATTTAGATGTTGAACAGCAAACGGCAAATGTTGTGCGAAAAACGTCCAGAAGTCTTATTACTTATAGTAATAGTTAAGGTTGAGACAATGCAACCTTTTCGAATTCAACAATTGGAACGTTGAGTGTGGAATGTTGAGTGTGGAATATTGAATGCTTTTAATAAAAACAATTCGTTACGGTTGAATTCTCATCCAACGATATCATTACAGCAGACGGTGCCCTTGGTCATTGATACTCCGAAACAGACGATAATAATTAGCTTGTTCTACTATTAATAGCACAATAATAATATTTAATTCAATGGAATTGATAGTGCACTACTAACTGTATACTAAGACATTATTAAGCTTAAATTCTAATCCACAAGTTGTAAAAAGCGAGGATATAAACTATAAAGACCACACTGGCCTATAACTGCT